TCTGTGTGTGTGTGTGTGTGTGTGTGTGTGTGTGTGTGTGTGTGGGTGTGTGTGTGTGTGTGTGTGTGTGTGTCTGTCTGTGTGTCTGTGTGTCTGTCTATCCATCTGTCTATCCATCTGTGACTTTTCGACACTTGCCAGCTCATGCACACCACACTATCCGCGTGTGCAGTTGTCATGAAATCGCCCCAATCAAGAGTTTAGAACTGAGTTGAACTGGCAACAGACCGAGTTGGGGCAAAATAAACGAACAAAACAGAGCAGACGCACCAGCAGCGACTGCGACACAGAGAGATCACAACAGATGATGAAAGGAAAACAAAACAAAACAACCCAACTTCACACACTCATATGTGCACACACACACGCACACACACCCACGCACGCACCCTCCTTTCTTCACTCTCTCCCTCGCAACACGTCCAAGGGCAGCACGCATGCAACAAGACGCAAACCCACACGCAACACACATGGCCATGATGAGATGATCATGTCGAAAACTGGAGCCTATGGATGGAGCCTACTTCTGCTTCTTTGCATTCTTTGCCGCGTTCTTTGCCGCGTTCTTTGCCACGTAACTCCGGATGTAGAAGTTCATGAACAGCGCAATCATCGTCACCATGTACGTGATGTTGGCCTGGTGGTGGCGTGGACACGTGAGGGTGGCGGGAGGAGGTTTGAGGGTGAGGTGGGGGTGAAGAGAAGCGGAAGAACAACAGGTGGCAGCACGCAAGATGTGGACATGATGCAGAACAAGACGGTTTTGATTTGAAGTGCATGTGCGTGTGAGCGAGTGCGTTCACAGCACAGCATCACAACACAACCCAGAACGACGCATAACAAGCACATGCATAACGCAACACACAAAGCCACATCCACAGCAGGGTACGCACCCATCCCATCCACTCGAAGAAGTTGCAGTTGCCTGCCCTGACTTCGTAGACGGCGGTGGATGTGGTGAAGAGCACAAAGAAGAACTGCGCCAGCTGCAGCTGTGTCAGGTACCGCTTCCACCACAGATATGGCCGCACCCGCGGGCCCAGCGCAGCCAGCATGTAGTACGAGTACCTGATGAGTGTGGATGAGTGTCAGTGTGTGTGCGTGTGTGCGTGTGTGTGAGTGAGTAAAAGGGTGTGAAGTTGTGTGTAGCTGTGTGTAGTTGTGTGTAGTTGTGTGTAGCTGTGTGTAGTTGTGTGTAGTTGTGTGTAGCTGTGTGTAGTTGTGTGTATGTGTGTAGCTGTGCCCCCCAACACACACACACACATCCACCACCAGAGCCATATCACCGCACATGATGACGTGGATGCAGGAGTTGATGGCTGCAGAGTAGCACGACTGGCCCCCTGGCGCCCAGCGCGTGCCCATCCACCACAGCGGGAACATGGTGGAGTGGTGGTACAGGTGCAGGAACGTCACTTGGTTGTCTTTCTTCCGCAGCACAAAGAACAGCTGGCAGTGGTGTGTGTGTGTGTGTGTGTGTGTGTGTGTGTGTGTGTGTGTGTGTGTGTGTGTGTGTGTGTGTGTGTGTGTGTGTGTGTGTGTGGTGAGCAAAGGGGCAAACAATCAAGTGCAGTGCCTAAAGGACATCTCACAACAACAGCACAGCACAGCAATCCCAACGAACACACAGCACATCAGAAGCATGCAAATCGTAATACCGTGTCCAAGAATTCAATGCACTTGCTGAAGTAGAACCACCACACGCCCTTGGCAAGCTGCGAGGAGAGCGAGAAGAAGGCAAGTCAGCACGTGAACAACTCATGAAGTACACTAATGTGCTTACACACATGCACACACGCACACACACCTGTGCATGCACCTATACACAGCACACACACACACACACACACATATACCCAGCACACACATACACCCAGCACACACACACACACACACACACACACATAATCAACGCACCCTCAGCGAGTTCTCGTTTGTTGGATCCTGGTTGACTGGCGCGCACCACAGGCTCATCTTCTCGGCAATGATGTTGCGGATCAGCTGCAATGCACATGCAAGCAAGACAGTGACACATAAGGGTACACGGTGAACCCGTCGTCATGACACGCACTGACATTCCTGCATCTGAGAGCTAGCTCCCTCTGTCCCTCTGTCCCTCACTGACGAACACACACACACACACACACACACACACACACACACACATACACACACACACACACACACAAACACAAACGCACATGCTACCCCACGCTCCCTTCCGTTGTTCCCTTGCCCGCTGCACACCTCGTATGCGATGTAACCGTTGAGGGCGACGACGAACATGTTGTAGACGATCAAGACATACTTGAGCTCGAATGGCTTGCGATCTGGATGGCATCCAAAGCACACAGTACAGCGATGTTGCCAGATGTGAGCCCATCGTCATAGTTGCGAGTATAGTTCATCCACACCACACTGATCACATCCACCACACAAACCAGCCAGAAAGCACGTGATGGAATGAACCCCCAAATCAACGCCAACAACCAACGCCAGCAAAGCAATCCTCACACTGCTCCCTTTCCGACCCTCAACCCCACTCCCTCCCTCCCTTGACTCTGTGCCTGTACCTACCCTTCATGTAGCTCTGGCCAAACTTGATGATGAGCAGGTACATCGCAGACATGGCCAAGGTCGGCACGGGCGACGACATGAGCAGCCAGTCGCTCGTCCTTGGATCTGTCCACCCACAAGACGAAAAAAAAAAAAAAGCAAGCGCATCATGAGCGATACATGCGCAATGCCGAGCAGGCAAGGCTGCTTCATCACTGGGTTCACAAAGCTCACCTCTCAATCCTAACCACAATCCCACGTCGCGCCACCTTCTCTCCACCACCCACGCTCATGCGCTCACTCGGTTGCGCAACCGGTGCCGCCCACCGCCATCACTCACCGGCGTTGGTCATCATGTAGTCGTAGAACTCCATGATGGCGTCCATGGGCCACATGGCAGCAGCCATCTTGGTCGATGAGGCAGTGAACTGGCACTGAAGCGAGTAAGGGAGGGGCTGCGACTCACACACACACACACTCGCACACGTGTTGTTGGTTGTTGGCGGGTGCACTGGCTGGCTGGGATTTTGTGGGCGTCGCTGGCTGGGCACAAGCTTGGTTGGATTGAATTTACCACACGAGCGGTGTTGAAGTGGTAAAACAAGGTTTACCACGGAATCAGGTGATTCTGAGGTGGTGGATTCAAAATGCGTGCGCACACTAAAGTAAAATGTGTGCGAAACATATACTGTTTCAGTAATGCGACAGGACAAACTGTAGATTCCCCCACGTTTTCCCCCTTCTTCCCGCGCGCTGCACACCGAGCCACGATGAGCGCTCTCGCCGCCTCCCTCACCCACCCCACAGAGCTCTTCCAGTGCGTGCCTCTGTGTGCATGTGTGTGTGTGTGTGCATGTGTGTGTGTGTTGGAAACTCTTCCTGTCTCCCTCACTGTCTGCCTCTTCTTGCCTCTCTCTCTCTCTCCCTCTCCTTTGCCTCGCTCCATCTCACTGTTGTTCGACTACCCTCACCACGATTCCTCTCACCGCGATTCCACTCACTGCACACGATTTTGTCAGGCTCATCAACTTCCAGTTCTTCGGCGGCAAGGAGCGCCTGTTCCCTGCCCGCGCAGAGGTACTTTCACCTGTGTGCGTGTGTATGTTGGGATTGAGATTTTGTGTCATGCCACCGATTGACCTCGCCGCTCATGAAGCACGTCGTGTGTACTGGACTGTAGCTGGAGAACACGCCGTCCATGCGCCGATGCGACTACTATCTCTGCCGCACAAGCCGCAGCTTCTCCGCCGTCATCCGTGCCCTTGACGCGGAGCTCAGGTGTGTTGTTTGTCTGTGTATGTCTGTGTGCGTGTGTGTGTATTGCGTTGTGAGTGTGAGTGTGTGTTGTGTGAGTGTCTGTGTTGTGAGAATACGGAGAAAGTGAAACACGCCCCAAGCTGCACGTGTCTCCTTCCTCCCACCTTCACGCACACACACACACCTTCACGCACACGCACACACGCACACACTCGCACACACACACACACGCACACAACCGACCATTGCAGGCCAGCCATCAGCATCTTCTACCTTGTTCTGCGCGGCCTGGACACAGTTGAGGATGACATGTCCCTGGACAAGAAGCTGAAGCACAAGCTGCTGACGACGTTCCACGAGAAGCTGTACGATCCCCAGTGGAACTTTGATGGCAGCGGGCCCAACGAGAAGGACCGCGACCTCCTCGTCGAATTCCACGTGGTTCGTTGGTGTGTGTGTGTGTGTTTGATTCTGTGTGCGGCTGCCATCTCTCTCCATCGATCTCTGTGCAGCCATATGTCTACTTTTACTCCCATCCTTCTTATGCGTGCCCCATGCTCACCCCTCTCCTCCCACCGACCCCCCCCCCTTCCTGGTGCGCAGGTGACACAGGAGTTTCTTGCGCTGGACAAGAAGTTCCAGGTAGTGATTGCCGACATCTGCAAGCGCATGGGCCACGGTATGGCAGAGTTTATCGACAAGACGGTGGAGACGGTCGACGACTACAACCTGTACTGCCACTACGTCGCCGGGCTTGTTGGCATTGGCCTGTCGAAGCTGTTCTCGGCCTCTGGGCTGGAGAGTGCGGAGGTTGGCGTGGATGAGGAGCGGGCCAACAGCATGGGCCTCTTCCTGCAGAAGACAAACATCATCCGCGACTATCTCGAGGACTTGGAGGAGGGCCGCACGTGGTGGCCGCGCCAGGTACCACACGGCAACACGTTTGCCTGCGTGTGTGTCTGTGTGTGTGTGTCTGTATCTGTGTGTGTGTGCTTTTGTGTGTGTGTGTGTGTCTTGTGTGTGTGTGTGTATCTGTCTGTGTGTTTGTGTCTTTCTGCCTGTCAGTGTGTCCCTGTGACTCCACGCCCGTATGGCACCACGCCCAACAGCATCACCTCTCATACCAGCCTCCCAACCCCCCCCCCCCACAAACAACGCCTCTCCCCTTACGCTCCCCCCTAGGTGTGGAGCCTGTATGGGACGAAGCTGAGCGACTTTGCGTCGCCCGACTGTGAGGCGGGCGGGCTCGCGTGCCTCAACCACCTCGTCGCCGACGCCCTGCAGCACGTGCCAGACTGTTTCGTGTACATGTCGCGCCTGCGCACGCAGAGCGTGTTCAACTTCTGTGCCATCCCGCAGGTGATGGCCATTGCTACGCTCGACCTGTGCTACAACAACAAGCAGGTGCTCAAGCGCAACGTGAAGATCCGCAAGGGCACGGCCGTCTCGCTGATGATGAAGGCAACCTCCCTCGCAAACGTCATTGACATCTTCGTCTCCTATTCAAAGAGCCTCCAGAGCCAGGTGCTGCGGCTGAACTTTGTGCGTGTGTATGTGTGTGTGTGTGTGTGTGTGCTTTTGTGAGTTTGTGTGTGTGTGTGCGCGCGCGAGGGCGTGGGTGTGTGTGTGTGTGCTTTTGTGAGGTTTTTGTTTGTGCGTTTACGACGTGTGCAAGTGAGCGTGTGCACATGCGAGAAGAATGCCACTTTCTTTTTGTTGTTTTGTTCACACCTGCCCGCCCACCTTCCCCAATTCCATCACCACCACCACCACCACCACGTATGCGCGCGTACGTGCAGGGCGTGACGACGGACCCGACATACGGCAAGCTTTCGAGCACGCTGGACACCATCTTCAAGCGGGCCGAGCAAGCCAAGACCATGGCCGCAGCCACAGACAACCTGCGTCACACCCGCACAGAGGCCCAGCAGGCGCTCGTGCTCTCGCCATCAGTCACCATTCCTGTTGGCATTGCGCTCGCAGGCCTTGCAGCATACTACTACACGCGCCACACGCAAGCGCCCAAGCCCTGAGCCATGCCACGCCTTTCGTTTCGTTGTTAGCATGGGAGCGAGCGTGTGTGTGTGTGTGTGTGTGGTTGTGTGTGTGTGTGTGTTTGGTTGTGAAGGGAGTGTGTGCCATCTGCTGCCTACAAACGATGCTGTGATTGGGATTGTGGTTGTGCTTGTGACTGTTCATTTTTTGATGCCGACCTAACAAAACAGTGAATTAAAGCTGATGCATGACGGAGTGAAGTGCGTGACATGCGGTGTGACATGATGTTCTGAAGAGTGAGCGGCGAAGAGTGTGAAGCGAAACTCTGTGAGGTGCGCAGTTCGTCACATCGCTGCCTTGACACAAGCGAAATATGACAATCACACCTATCAATTTTCCGCAATGATGACGGCAAAGAGGAAGAGGAGGAAGGACAGCCGCAACAAGAGCCACAGCAGCAGCGATGGCAGTGGTTCTGCTGCGACACGCTGGCAAGGCTGGCTGAACACTGGCCTTGCTGTACTCTGTGAGTGAGGCTGTGAGGCTGTGAAGCTGTGTGAGTGAGGCTGTGTGTGTGTGTGTGTTTTTTTTTTTGCTTTGCAAGTGTGTGTGTGTGTGTGAAGGAGAGCGAAGACGCCGTTTGTGCGAGTGTTTGCCTTGTGGAAAGGTCGCAGACAACAGCCCGCTGACATGTTGTGCCTCAACTGTTTTGTCAACCTCTTCAGGCATCGCTGCAGCCGCCATCTGTTTGCCGTGAGTGATACGCACAAACGCGTGCCAACACGCACATGCTCATGCGCATGCACTTGCACACATGCACATGTACTTGCACACGACACACTCACATGCGCACGCATGTGTGCTGTTGTGCAGCCTCGCCGTTCGCCATCTTCACGAGCAAGCCCGCTTCTTCTCCGCGCTCACAACGACCGAGAGGGAAATTTCCTTCACATCAGAGCAGGTCTGGGTCACACCGTGTCATGGTTGTGGTTGTGGTGGCTCATTGGAGTCACAGCTTCTTGTTTGTTCTCATGCTGCAATGTATTGCTGTGCGGCATCATCCACCCTCATCTTGCGTCTTCGTGTCAATGCATATCCAGGCCATGTACTATGCGTACTTCAAGAAAGCGCTGATGACAATCGAAGATACGCCAGGCATGCTCCCCACCAAGATCATGGCAGCAATCAATGTCAGTTGTGTGTGTGTGTGTGTGTGTGTGTGTGTGTGTGTGTGTGTGTGTGTGTGTGTGTGTGTGTGTGGAGGGAGCACCAGTTGCTACCACTTCTTCCAACTGCTGCTTCCCTACCCGAATGCGACCGGAAAGCTCACACGCTGCCTTAATATTTGATAATGTGTTGAGAAGGCGTTCGTGCACGACACGCGCATTGAGCATCCGTCCAGCGTCAACGCTCTCCAGCGCTTCAATGTCTACCCTGAACTTGTCATTGCCACAGCCATGCACATCTGGCGCAGCGTCCATGCCTTCATCTGGGGAGAGCAGCCACAGCAGACCTGCATGCAATGTGCGCGCGTGCGTGCGTGCGTCTATATATGTGTGTGTGTGTGTGTGTGTGTGTGTGTGTGTGTGTGTGTGTGTGTGTGTGTGTGTGTTTGCATGCCACCTTCCCGCTCATCTGCAACCCCGCACTCTCTGCTATCCGCCAGTACCTGGGCATGTGCTTCAAGTTCACCCCAATGCATTGTTTCTTATCAGATCAACAGGCTGGCGGCTCAACATACATGACGTGCACGGGCGCAGCCGTCCCCATTTACTTCTACATCAATGTAAACACGTGCTTTGCTCTGTTGTGTGTGTGCGTGTGTATCTGACATGTGTTTGATATGTGTTCGCCACTTGCATGCGTGCCACATCACGAATATGGATTCACCAAATGAACCACGTTGCTTGCATGCTCGCGTGTGATTTCAGTCTGTGTTTGGCCTCCAAAGTCTCGCCATCGCCTCCCTCCTCTTCCTCGTGTGGTGAGAACACACCTGCGCCTGCTTGATGCTGCTGAAAAGCACGACCGTCCACCCGTTCATTGCCGGCGGTGAACAGAACTGCCGTTTTCATTTCACACTCCGCCTCACTTGCACACACGCGTGGTGCTGGCCATAGGGAGGTGTCTGGCAACAGCGCGTGGAGCGTCATCGCCGCAATCATCTTCATCGCCGTCAACTTTGACGAGGTGCAGTGCACTCCAGCGACGCAAACAGCGCATCCATCGTTGCACAGTCTTGCTCCGTTCCAGCTCACAAACATACACACGCACACGCACACGTACACGTACACAAGCGCTTTGGCTTGAAGTGGTTTCCCCTACCATTCACTCACTCTCCCTCTCTTACTCACTCACACACACATACACACACACACACACATACACACACACACACACACACACACACACACACACTGACGTGCATGTGGTGCAGATGACACGCGTGATGTGGGGACCGCCACTACGAGAGAGTTTCGGATTTCCGTTTTGGATGGCACAAGTTGCCCTTATCACACACGCCCTGCGGTCAGCTGATGTGCTTTGATGTGATGTAGTATGAGATTTCGTGCTGTGCCATGCACTCGCGTACCCATAGATGAACATATTGTGCACACAGCAACCCCAAAGGAACCCCCCCCCCCACACACACACAGCACAGCACACATACAGCACTCGTCACGCTCAACACGACAGCATTTGATTCCAAATGCAGGCAGTACAGGACACGCGTGCCCTCGGCCTTGATGGCCGTGCACGTGTGTCTCCTGGTTGCGTTTGCTGCGTCGTGGCAGTTTGCTCCCTTCGCCCTTGCTGTGCAGATGTGTGCGCTTGCTCTCCTCTTCGCCCTCGGTGCTCTCCCACGGCCGCTCCTCGTCGCTTTTGCCTCCTCCCAGGTGGGCGCCTCGTTGTGTTTGCGTGTGTGTGTGTGTTTGCGTGTGTGTGTGTGTGTGTGTGTGTGTGTGTGTGTGTGTGTGTGTGTGTGTGTGTGTGTGTGTGTGTGTGTGCGGTGTGCTTGTTGATTGTGTGAAAAGATGTGTTTGTACGGGTACGCATGTGTGTATATATGTATATGTATGTGCTGATATGCAACCCTGCCTGCCTTCGTTGTCCAGCCTGCAGTTGGCTTCTATGCATCATTTTCCTCACACACGAGTGCGCACTCAATCACGCCATGTAGACGCTGGCGTGGGGCATTAGCATTGCACTTCAGTTCTTCAACGCGTTCATGATCACATCCGCTTACACCGCCACCATTATCGGTGTGATGCAATTGCACATGTCGGCTTGCGCCTCGCTGCTATGATTGACTTGTTGCTCATTAGCCTCACGAAAAGCGCGCACACGTGGCTGAATTGTTCTTGCTTTGTACTCACCACAATTAACACACACGCGCGCGCGCACTCAACACTCACACTCACACTCACACTCACACTCACACTCACACTCACACCCACGAAAACACACACACAAACACACGCTCACACGCTCACAAACAAACACACGCAGGGTTGTGGGTGTCGGTGATTGCACTGCCGCTGCCGGATGGACGCGTGTGGCGGTTTCTTCGGTTCCCGCTCTTCCTCATCACCACTGCAGCAGCGAAGGCGGCGCCCACCCTCCTCCTCAGCCACCAGCAGGACGTGCGTGCAAGCGCTGTACTGTGTTTTCCCCGGTCACAGCCCTACCGTGACACACACGCACGTGCACGAATATCAATGCAAACCACATGCACATGCATGCAACCCCCATAATCACCACATCAGGCATGATGATGGCACTCACTCATCCCTTCACTTCCCCCCTCCCATCTATTTGTTGTGACAGAGTCACGTGCTGGACATGCTCAAGGCAAAGTTTCGGCTGGCACCCGGCACATTCCACACGAAACTCTACACGTGTGCCAGCGCTTTCGACTTTCTACCAGCGGTGCGCGCCGTGTAGAGAGGGAGCGAATGTGGGTGTGTGGGTGTGATTGTGGGTGTGTGTGTGTGGGGGGGGGGGGTGTGGGTGGGTGTGCTTGTTCGTAAGCGCGTGTTTCGTTGTTTGTCTGTGTCGTTGCGTATGATACGTTCACGTTGATTTCTGTGTGCACCTGTGCAGGAAACGTATTGGCGGTTCACCACTTCGCTTGTGCTGCCACTGGCAGTGATTGTTGTTGCTGCGAGTGGAATTGCGGTTCGTTTTGCTTGCACTCTACGCGCTTGCATACGCACGTGTGCCTGTGTTTGTGTTGTACACATGTGTGTGTGTGCTCTTGCGCGCATGCTCAAGTGCAAGCCAGACCACGACTGCTCTATTCCTCACACGCACCACCTGCTCGGCAACACCTTTCGACCAAACACCCAACACAACAGCAACTGCGTCGCTTGCTGCGCAGTGACAGCAACGGTCACGCCACCTCCATCACCGCTGGTCTGGAGAGCGCGCGGTTGTTTGCAGCCGTCATGGTGAGACAAAACGCTTCGCAATCGTGATATTGTTGAGCAGAGAGAACAGTCCTCTCTTGCTGGCGGCGGAGATGTTTATAGGGGTGACGAGATGTGTTTTGTTGTGCTGTGTTGTGCTGTGTGTTGTATGATGGGTGATGCATCATACAACACTGCCCTGAATACAGGTCTCACCATGTTTCCTCCTCCACATGCACGCGCTGCTGTGTTCGCTGCAGGCGTGCGGGTTTTTCGTGCTCGCGGTGCTGGTGATGCGCCTGAAACTCTTCGCCACGCCGCTCGTCATCGTCATGGCCTCTGTCGCGTTCTCGCCCGAGGTGAACACAGCAATTGCGTGTGATGTTGTAGTGGCAGCGTGAGGGGGTGCGTGCACATGGGCCTGGACGTCGTGTGTGCGGGTTTTGTTGGCACTCGTGCTCGCACTCGCAACTGACACATGTACACGCCCGCGCTCGTTCACGAACACCAGGCCGTGCGTCAAGTGCTGACACGACCATTCATGTTTGGCATGGGGACAGCTTCGCTGCACAAAGCCATCAGCATCGGCCTCATCTCAGGTGCAAAGCACAACAACACACTTAACGTGCACTTGAACAAGCGCACGCACGGTCAGGCACGCTCTAAACCTCACCACCCTCTCACACTGCTCCTTTGCCGACAGCTGTGCTCTTCAACGGATATGGACACGTGTCGCGCCTTGCATCGAAGCAGGGTGAATTCAACGACGCAAGCACACTCGAGCTGGTACGTGACGATGAATGGCGACTGCAGGCACAGTCATATGTGTGTGTGTGTGTGTGTGTGTGTGTGTGTGTGTGTGTGTGTGTGTGTGTGTGTGTGTGTGTGTGTGTGTGAGTGAGTGTGTGTGTCTGTGTCTGTGCGTGTACGTGCATCGCTTCCATTCCGATTTCACGCACACGCACACACACGTACTGCCAGGTGCGATTCGCAAACACACACGTGTGCAACTGCTTGAACGCACTTTGTCATATTTGCCTGCAGTAACGTGAGCTGACTGTCGTGTCTTTGGGGCGCGAGTGAGGTCGTGGTTTTGCGCGGCGGCAACGAACGCCTCCAACTCACTCTCCGGCACTCCCAAGAACCTGCAGCAGCAGCAGCAGCAGCAGCAGCAGCAGCAGCAGCAACAGCGCAACATTCCCGTGTTGCACAGTTCTTTGATATCATCAGAAGCAGCCAGGAGCATCGTGCCACATCAAACGCATGGGTACAATACAGCAGTCACATCCCACTGTATAGTCACCGTCATCACCACGTCCTCCCATGCATCCCCTCTCCCTCCCGTATGTCCACCCATCTCTTCCCTGACCTGAAGATGCGGTGAATTGTGTCGTTGAAGTTGGTTGTGAAGTCTTCCAACTTGACGTTCAGCCCAAAGTGGTCTCTCTCCGTCGCAGCAAACTGCTCCTCCATCGCCTGCACGTGTGTGAGTGAGTGAGTGAGTGAGTGAGTGAGTGAGTGAGTGAGTGAGTGTGTGTGTGTGTGTGTGTGTGTGTGTGTGTGTGTCAGAGAGTGAGTAAGTGCGTGCAAACGTGCGTGTGTGTGTGTGCAGGTGAGTGCAAACGTGCGTGTGTGCTCGTTTGAGCACAAGCAGCTTCAACGCCCTTCATGCATCATTGCATGTGTTCTCACCAATAGTTCGGGCTGCATGGCGTCTGCCATGTCTCGTAAGCCAGCGGACATGTTGGGTGCATGGACAGCCACCCTGGTCAATGTCCATTGCAACAGAGAGCAACACAAGAATGGGGCTGAGAGATGGTTTGAAGCACCTGACCACAAGCGTATACACACTTACACACACACACACACACACACTTACACACACACACACACGCATACACATAGCAGTTGCAAGCAGGCAGATCATCAACAGTACTTGTGGAAGTTGTCGTGGGCGGTTGGACGCTGGGTCTCGTAGAGGTACGCGGACACGATGGCGGCAACGGGATCACGCACAATGTGCACGAAACGGTAGGGTCGCTCGATCCAGCGCAGCTGACGTGCACCATGGGATGATGATGACGACGATGTGAGACGTACATTGATCGGAACAGAAGTGAGCAGGACACAAGCGCGCTGCAGCACGTACTTCGGGCATGCCAACTCGCGCACTCACCAGGGTTTGGTTGATGTGCTGTGCGTGGAAGGTGACAACGACATCGACGTCGTCTCCAAGCTGGCGCCATTGTTCCTCAGTGATTGGGCGGAACTTAACCACACCCATGTGCAAAAGAGAGTGAGTGTGTGAGAGAGGGTGTGTGCGTGTGTGTGTGTGCGCGCGCGCGTGTGTGTGTGTGTGTTGTGTGTTGTGTGGGTCTGTGCGTTCGATGAAGGTGGAGATGATGATGAGAGGGTTGAGACAAAGAGCTGGGTAGCTTGCAGCGCACGATAGCCATGCATCATACCTGTGAAGAGAAGATCTTGAGAGGCGGCGATACGAGGCGTCGAAGTGTGCCCCACATGTTCTGTGTCAGGAAGCTCCCCGTCTTGTGGTGTGTGCCCAGAATCCTGTCCATCAATGAAACCCAAATGTCCGTGAGTCTGTGTATCACAACAAAGGTACACACCCACAACCATCACACGCACACACACACCACAAGATATGGCGGTCGCGCAGCGTTGAAAAGTCTGGCGCCTGTTCTTGGTGGAGACAGTGGCAATCCTCGCACGTGGACTGGAAGCCATGCCGGTTATGCTGGAATGAATGGCCGTTCTGTGCCTGCCCTACACTGCACGCGCTGCCCACACACACTTCCCCCAAGGGACACACGCAGTGCGCATTCCCATGGTAGTGCGAGTACACCAGCTGCAGCAACACACAGCGCACAAGAGAAGATCAGATGGTGCCGTCGCAGTTGTCAGCGCTGCTACATACACGAGCTCGAACAGAAGAGCAGGCACAAGGACATACTCTGTATCGCACGCTTGCCCACAGGCCACCTCCACAGGCCCAGCTTCAGCACACCTTCAATGAATGGTTGCTTGGGCACTGCTGTCCAGCTGCAAGAACGGAGTCGTCGAAGCGGCCACAACAAGCAACGGTGAGTCTTTGGAAGCGAGCGCAGCTTTACACACACACACACACACACACACACACACACACACACACACACACACACACACACACACACACACACACACACACACACACACACACACACACACACACACACACACTGACCTGGGAAAGAGTCTGCTGCACATTGGTGTGGTGTCAGGCATGCTACAGCAGCAGCGGTCAGCGTCACGAGCGCAGCAATCACCATCATCATCATCCTCTGCGTACACACACACAAAAATTATGGTCCTTCGCGCGTTTTGGGCGCTACACTCAGGCAAATGTGTGTGTGTGTGTGTGTGTGTGTGTGTGTGTGTGTGTGTGTGTGTGTGTGTGTGTGTGTGTGTTTCGCCCTCCAACACCATCCACCTTCTCAATATGTCACGACACGCTGACACCGATTTGGGCACAATCACTGTAGTATTTCATCACAGGCGTTCGCTACGACATGTGCACACCCAGCAAACGATGCACGAATCAGCGCGCAAGAGGGCATGCACACAAGCAGGTCGACAGCACCCAGCAGAGCGACGGGCAGACAAGAAATGGGGGTAACGCTGCCGTCGTGCCGCTGGTGGCGAGACGCGGGGATGATGTGAGGTCACGAGCAATGGCAACAGAAACACAAACAAACGCGTGGGCGATCAAAGGCAACTGGACAAACACAGAGATACACATGCTACGTTCCAAGCATGAACACATAACAACAGAAGCAATCACGCGTGTCATGCACACGAGCAACGCAGAGAGAAGAAGGCAGGTCAGCGAGACTACACCAATTGGCGATGAAGCGACACATGTGCATGTGGGTGCGATGAACACAAACTTGCACTTGCCACGCACAAACATGCATACACATTCAACGCAAAGCAAAGATCATCACATCACCAACCACCACTTCCCAACTTTAAATGCACTGCACAGCGACACAGGACACGCGGCAACACGACACAAGCGGCGAATAGCAGCAGTAACACAGCAAGAAGCAGCAACACATGCAAACACATGTGCACCATCTGCCATGCCGTAGCCGCCAATCCTTCAGCCAAGCAAGCGTCGCAGGATCGCACGAGCGGCAAACGAGCGAGCACGAGCACGAGACGAGGTGAGGTTGGTCGCGCAGGCCTCAGGCTGTGGACTCCTCCTCCTTGGCCGCGGCGCTGCTGCCGGGCGTGCTGACAGCAACAGCGGTGCTGTCGTCCCCAGCACCGCCCTCAACCGCAACAGCAGATGTCGACGCCTCGGGTGTGGCATCAGTTGTGGCGGGGGCGGGGGCGGGGGCGGTGTCCGCCCTGTCCGCAGCAGGCGCAGCCGTGGCAGTGGCGGTGTCCGTCGTTGTGGCGGGGGCTGGCGCAGCTGTCTTGAAGTCGCTTGGGATGGCGACAGCGACAGTGGTGTCCTGGCCGCGGGTCGGGTCGTACACGTAGATGCGCGTCTTGTCGTACCGCCGCTGCCGCCGCTCACGACGCTCCCGGCGGGGCTTGCCCTGCAGCCAAGACGTGTCATTGTGTCAGTAAGCAATTCCGACGTAGGCATCAATGCGCTTCACCAGATGCACAAGACGCGCAAACAGAAGCGCAAACGCAACACATGTACACACAAGCAACACAAAAACAACAAACAAATGCACAAACACACACACACACAAAACAAATGCACAAACACAACAAACAAACACACACACACAAACAAACAAGCAAACAAACAAACAAACAAACACACAAACATACACACAAACAAACAAATGCACAGCAGGAACACGAGCTCGCACACCTTCTGGCCTGCATCTGCGCCCTGGCCCTTCTTGCCCTTGTTCTTGCGACCCTTCTTGCCCTTCTTGCCGCGCTGGCCCGGCAGCGCGTCCTCGTCGCCCTCACCAGCATCGGCCGCCGCCTTCACGGGGTCTGGCGGCGCAACCGTCTCAACAACGCCGCTGCTCGACATCACAATTTGCCGCCGTGGGCCCGTCGGGGCAGGCGCAGCCGTGCTGCCGGTGTCATCGTTGTTGTCGTCTTCCTTGCCGCGGGACTTGCGGTTGCGGCGGCTCTTGCCCTTCTTCTTCTGCCCGGGCAGTGGCGCCTCGCCGGCCTCATCTGCTGCTGCTGGTGCTGTTGTTGTTGCTTGTGCTGTTGCTGGCTGCTGACCCTCTGCCGCCTGCTTCTCCTGCTGCTTCGGCTTCTGCTTGCGCTGTTTGCGGGTCTTCTTGCTGCCCTCACCACCCTGCTGCTGCTGCTGCTGTTGGTCGACAGCAACGTCCTCCACGCGATCCTCCTTCGACGACAGCGTGATGTGCTTCTTCGGGCCCTGCTGCTGCTGTTGCTGCTGTGGTTGTTGTTGCGCGTCGTATGCGTCCACGGGTCTGCCCTGCGGCGCCTCATCGCCAGCAGGACCGCCACGGCCCCGACCGCGACCACGCCCACGGCCCCGCCCCATCGGCCGACCACCGGGGCCACCGGGGCCACCTGGACCACCAGGGCCGTACCCGCGCCCGCGCCCGTAAGGGTAGCCGCGGCCCCGTCCAAAGCCGCGTGGCATGAACGAGGGCAGCTCCTCGTCAAACTGGCGCGCGTCAAAGGAGACCTCGCGCATGCGCGTGTCAATCTCCTGGATGGACTGCAGGCGGTCGCGCGCAAGCTTCAGCGCAGACTCCGCAAGCACAAACGCCCGGTCAACGCTCTCCTGCCACATGAAACGGTTGAGTGTGTGTGTGTGTGTGTAGTGAGTGAGTGAGTGAGTGAGTGAGTGAGTGTGAGTGAGTGAATGTGAGTGTGAGTGAATGAATGAGTGAGTGAGTGTGTGTGAGTGAGCAAGGTGTACGCCACTCGTGCGCTATCTGTCACGGCGAGTGTAGAACAATATGCATGAGTGCGTGCGTGTTACCTGTGAGCCGATCATCTCGGCGCCCTCGCCGTCCCTGATGCGGATGCGCAGGACGCCCGACTGGTCAATCAGCCGCTGGATCGTCGCGCCGTTCTTCCCAATAAACGGGCCAATGTCTTGCCTGCAAGCCAGGGATATTTGGGGGGGGGGGAGGAAGGAAAGGTGCAGTGAGGGATGTGGGTGTGGGAAGGCGAAGGCGTTTACGAGGAGCGAGCGACCATGGGTGGGGGGAAGAAAGACGCACAGACACGAGCAACACAGGCACACGACAACACCAACAACAAGAAATCCCGACACACACACACACACACACACACACACACACACACACACACACACACACACACACACACACACACATACACGACATGCATCAAACGTACTCGTCGAGCGGGAAGACGCGCTTGACAATGGTCATGGCGGCGGTGGCGTAGTCGAGGCCCTCCTTTGTCTTGGCACGCACCATCACCGACGCCGATGAGCCCGCAGGGTCGCGGTTAATCACCACCCGGTCAACCTCGGGGTGCGACTCCACGTGGCTCACGTAGCTGCCCTTCTGCTCGCACGTGCGCAGGCACCAAAGGGAATACAAGCATTGTGATGTGAGGTGAAGACGATGGTGGTAAAGGTGGCACAGCGGCGAGAGCGTGTGTGTGTATGTGTGTGTGCGTGTGTGTATGTGTGTGTGCGTGTGTGTGTGTGCGCACGCATCGTCTGTGCGTGTGTGTGCTAACCGGGCCAATGGCGAGCGAAACAAATTCGCGGGGAATGTCGAATGTGTGTGTCAGCATGTTCAGCGACTCCTGCAATCGAAAGTGACACGCAAGCAACACAACAATGTCAGCGCTGCTTGTGTGTGTGTGCTTGTGTGTGTGTGTGTGCTTGTGTGCTTGTGTGTGTGTGTGTGCTTATGTGTGTGTGCTTATGTGTGTGTGTGTGTGTGCAGACCTGCTGGCGCTGGGCGATGGACTCGAGGAACCGCTGCTTGTCGGCGTGGATTTGAAGCTGTCAATGAACACAGAAGGTAGATACAAACACACCCCCCCCCCACACACACACGACAAGCAAGGGGCAGTCAACGAAGCGTGAGGCAACAAAATTAACTGGCAAGGCGCAAGAGGTTCAAATAGGGATGCCGTGCACATGCGTGTCACGTACGCGGCGAAGGAAGTCGTTCATGACCAGCTGTGATTTGTTGATCGCCTCCCGGTTGCCCTAAGGAAACACACACGCGCATACAGGAAACACATGCACGTGCACGGTTATGCTGTGAGCAAACCCGCAACGCAAGTCGGGATGAAGTCGGGATGAAAACGACAAAGCCCTGTCTTTCTCTTGACGATGCATGTATGCACACGCGAAGAGGCAGTGCGCAATGTGAAAGAAGCGAGTGAGCGCGGAACTTACGACGAGGACCCAGATTGGCTGGGCGCCGGGCGGGGTTTCGACCTGCACCGCCACCAGGCCGCACAGTGCCCGCAGATCCTCCTTGATCGCCTCGTCGCTCCTGTCGAAGCACAACACACACGCACGAAGAGCACAGCATTGTGAGCCTAACAAACACTCGACATTGAGTGAATACGTGGGTATGTGTGTGTGTGTGTGTGCGCGTGCATGTATGTGTGTGTGTGTGTGTGTGTGTGTGTGATTGACGTACGCGGCCTGTACGAGCGTTGGCGCAAGGGCGACGTCGTGGCGGGCGAGCGTCTCCGGGTTGAACGCCGTGCTGCAATCATGCACGAAACACAACATGAAAAGACACACACACACACACATACACACGCGATACTTTGGTGAGTGGATGCGACAACAACTGCTCAGCAGCGCGTAGTCAAAGCGCGATACACTCTTGTGTTGTCGACAGCATGCGTGCAGGAGCACGCAATGCGCGTGCTTGCGGCGGCGGCTTACTTGTCGTTTGCCATGCGAACACGGCCGGGCTCCACCCACTCGTTGAAGCTCTCATCAAAGCCAGCGTACGTCACCAGCAGCAGCTGCAAGAGTGACACGGCAGCACGAGACAGTGGCACACATGCAAAACGCACGCTTGCGTGAGTAAAGAACGTGAGAGCGAAGCAAGCACAGGCAGGATGGCAGGCTGCACATTCATTCAACCACGGGTGTGAGGTGAGCAGTTGCAGCGTGTTGCACCACGTGACTGACCATGCTGGGGCCGTCGCCACGGACTTCAACGATGCTGGCACGCGCCCAGCACGGCGGGATGTTGGCGTCGACATAGTACAGCACCTGGTGATTCGAGAAATGCTCAAGCATAAGCAGAATGCGCGTCGACACAAAGGGCACGTTGACACAAAGATATGCACACACACGTACTCGGCTTATAGGCAAGTACCTACGAACAAACGCACAAGCGAACAAAGGTACAAACAACAACCACGCCAGGACACACACACACACACACATGTGCACGTACGTCGACTTTCTGGCCTGGGACAGCCTTGAGGTCCTCATGGGGCGGCGTTGTGCGGACATGTGCCAGGGGCACTGACTGGGGCTGGCGCCAGCTACAGGAGCCACAACAACAACAAACAACCACAAGTAGCCACAGCCCACAAAGCAACAGGACACGCAACGGAGTGAGCAAAAGCACGCGCGCGGGGCATCGACGCTCTTGCAACGCTAAACAACAGGCGCAACCAGACGCTTGCACACCACGCCACAACGCACTTGTTGTCGAAGACGATGGTGGCATCGTCCTTGCTCCACTTTGTGATGGTTGCCTGTCGTTCACAACGGAGAGTTGTCGCGGGTTCAGTCAATAGCGCGGGAAATGAGTCAACGCGATCGGTTCATGCAGACCATGGCAGAACACAAACAAATTCGCTGCAACCACCACCTACCGGGAAATAGCCCCCAATCTCGGGGTCGAACACCTCGACGCGAAGCATGTCGTCGTCTCAAGTCTGTTTGCCTCTGCTAGTCTTGCTATGCGTTGTTGTTGTTGTTTCACTTTCACAACAAAGAAACACAGTGCACAGGCCAAAGTTGCAGACAAATTGAAGCGATCCACAGTCAGCACAACAAAACGAACGTCAGTGAGATGGAACGGTGACAGAACGTATGTGTGTGGGTGTGTGTTGTGTGTTTGTGTGTGTCTTCCCCTCTTTCCCTCCCTCCCACTCTCGCCCTCGCCCTCGCCCTCGCACTCGCACTAACACTCACGCAAGCAAGCGAATAATGTGGGGTGTCAGGGCTGGCGTGGTTGCGAGCGAGCGAGTGGACAGCGGCAAACAAACAACACAAAGCAAGCAAGAAGCAAGCAAGCAAGAAGCAGACACAAACCTTTTCCACTGCCACGACGCACCAATGGAATTCTGTTGGAAAATATTCGCCAATTTTCCGGAGATCACAGGTTTGTGACAACGACGACGACGAAGAACAATGACTGGTGGCGGTGGCAGCAACAAGGTGACGGCCAGCCTGGCAGCGGCGAGGCGGAGGTTTCGACGGCTCCCAGAGCACCTGGCACAGTGCAAGCAAGAGGTGCGTGTGGGTGTTTGATAGGTAGAGGGGAGAGGGGAGTTTAGTCGTGGGTGCGTGTGATGTGTGCGACGTGTGGTGTGGTGTGTGGTGTGATGTGTGCGACGTGTGATGTGATATGCGATGCGCAACGTCATCATCACAGATATGCAAGTGTTTGTGGGTGTTCGTGGGTGCTGACCACGGCTTCCCACACGGTGCAGGCGTCAACGTATGCCAAGTGCATTGAAGGGAACGTTTCTGGTGTGCAGAAGGACATGTGTGCGCAAGAGTTTTCTCGCTTGCTGGCCTGCGTCAAAGCAGCTGCGGTACGTGTGCCATGAACATGGGCGTGTGTGCGAGCGTGTGTTGTTGTGCGTGTGCGAGCGTGTGCATTTTTGTGAGTGTGAGTGCATTGTGTATGCGTGTATGCGTGTGTGTACGTGTGTGTATGTGTGTCTGTGTACAAACGAGTGAAACTGTGCTTCCCCAACCAGCCATTTTCTCACATGGCAGCGCGCCATGCTTCACGACACTTAACACGCTCGTTTTGCAGGCCAAGAAGTGACAGCATGGCAACACCAACCTCCCTCCCCCCCCCACACATACACACACTCTCTCACGCACATGTAACGACTTGGCTTAGGATTACTAATGAACCCCCCCCCCATGTTTCTGTCGCTGGCGGTGTACACATGCACATATTGAAACCTTGTGCTCTGCACGCAAGTGTTGCACCTGGCTCGCTTGCCTTGGTTCGCTTCTAACATGCAACTGGTGACACCTTGTGATATCAAAGTACAAGCCAGCAAGATTGCACAAGGAACAAGCACACACAGCGGACAGAGAGGCAGAGAGAACGAGAGGAAAAAGTTGACGCTGACACACACACACACGCACACACACACACACGCACACACATACATACACACATAACACGTCAACAACGGCTAAGCTTGTTGGGCGGCCTTGCTGCGCATAATCTTGTCCTGTCGCTTGGCCACCTTGCGTGCCTTCCTTGCCTTCTGCGCCTCTGTCTTCTTGGGCTTCTTGGCGTGCGGGTTCGGGCCCTTGCTGCGGCTGCTGTTGGCCTTGCGTCGTTTCATGCTCGTCGCCGGCGCAAACTTCTCCGACGCCACCAGCCCCTGATATGACGGCCGTCGCGGCGCACCAGGCCTGGGCACAGAGACACGTGGTGATGGAATTGAAGAAGAGGGGGGGGGGGGAGAACAAGGGTGGATGTGAGGATAGGCGCGCGTGCGTGTGTGCGTGTGCGCGTGTGTTGCGGATTGAATCGTGTCGTGTTCTGCGCACTGTGGCAATAGCAGGAGCAACTGCACCGACGAGCACGTGCAACCACTTCACCACAATCACCCTGCACAGCACAGCACAGCACGGCACATCACCTTGGTGCGTGTCGCGGCTTTTTCCCGCGGTGGTCCAGCACAACGACCTTCGCCCGCTTCCCGCCAGGCCCGCCTGCACAGCAGCAAACAGGCACGACGCAACGTTGGTGGATGCATGCATGGTAGGTGAATGTGTGGATGCGCGTGTGCATGTGTGTGTGTGTGTGTGCATGTGTGTGTGTGTGTGTGTTCACCTGCTCGCTTCTTTGCGTTGCGGTCTGCCTTGCTCCTCTTCGCTGCAAGTCGGCGCAGTGCACCCGGCTACAAACACACAAGCACACACAGATGCGCGTAGAAGTACGGTAAATGTCAGTCGCGGTCATCACAATAGCCGTCACAACACAATGTTCCTCTGCGAAGCAGCAGGCACACACACACACACACATACACACACACACACACACACACACACACACACACACACACACACACACACACACACACACACACGCACGCAACACAGCGCAGAAGCATGACAGCAAAATCGTACCGGGAGATCCTCTGGGTTGACATCACGGCCACCATCACCATCACCATCATCATCACCATCGGCCTCCTGTGCCCTTCGCTTCCCTTTCGCCCCCTTGCTCCCCTTGCTCTCCTTGCTCCCCTTGCTCTCCTTGCTGCTGTCATCGCCACCCTTGCCACCGTCAGTGCCGCCACGGCCGCGTGCACATCGCTGCACGCGCATCTCGCGCGTTCGGAGTTTCTTTCCGTCAAGCAGGAGCGCAAGGGATACGCTCTCCTCAAGCGCAAACGACACATACGCAAACCCTTTGCCAACACGCAGCACCTGCGATTGTGTGTGTGTGTGTGTGTGTGTGTGTGTGTGTGTGTGTGTGTGTGTGTGTGTGTGTGAACGGGGGTGAGGAATTGCATGAGCACCATCGCCCGGTTCAAGACCACATACACCGGCAGCAGCAGCAGCAGCACCACCACCACCACCAGCAGCAGCACACCTTATCACGGATCACACGGACGCCGGCGACGGTGCCGGCCTCATCAAACGCCGCGTACAGCTCCTCTTCCGTCACGTCTGATGGTGGCGGTGATGGTGAGTGGGTGGTGGAGCATCAAGCAATGAGGATGCGAAGCGGAAGATGCAAAGAATCAGAGAGACAGACACACACACACACACACACATAAACACATAAACACGCACACACGCAAGACACACTGACAGACAGACAGACTGACACACACACACACACACACTCCATGATGAAGAGGCGCACCAAAGGGGAGGTTGCCGACAAAGACGGTCTTTGTTGGCGGGAGCCTTGTGTTGGACCCGGCCATATCCACACGCAGATGCCGCTCGTTGAACACCATCCCATTGCTGCCGTATGGGAAGCGCATGCACGTGTGCGTGTGTGTACGTGTGTGTGCGAGAGTGAGGGTGAACGTACAGGTGTACGTGTGTGTATGTGTGTGCGCGCGCGCTGTTGAGTGGGTTGCATTGGTGCATGTGTACGTTACGTGTGCATGTATGGGAATGCTTGCTTTACATCTGCACGACAATGCATGAAAATATGAACATGACCGTGCGTGTTCGCCACTGTAACGCACCACTTGAGTGCAGCGCGTGCCATTGCGTCCTCTGCAAAGACGACATACGCGTTGACCGAGTTCTCCTCCCCGCCAACTTTGCGCCGCCTGAGCAACAGCACGGGCAGCACAACACGGAGGTGGGGCGGGAGCATTAAGATCGCGAAGGGTGGTACGCTCGCAGCGCATGGCAAGGCTTGAACACACACATACACAAACACACACAAACACAAACACAGCACCATGACAAGCGTGGGCTTCCAAACGCACAGGAGAACGGCGGCCTTGGCTCCGCCCTTGTGTGCCATCAGGTTCTGTGAGCAGGCAGACAGGTCGCACATTGGAGAGGCATGTGAGGCTACAGTACAAGCACACACACATGCACACATGCACACATGCACACAGACACACAGACACACACACACAAGCACACACACACAAGCACACACATACATACACAACCACACACCGTCGTTCGGAATCGGCATGACTCGATCTTGCCAAACTGGCTGAACAGCTTCTTCAACGCCTACAATATGCACACGAACACACGCCCAGGGATCGTGAGAGGAGAAATAGAGTGGTGCACCATCACCCACAACCAACATGGCAGAAGCAGACACAGCAAGCAGCCAAGCCAGTGTGCAAGGTACCCATGTCTGTGCACAGCCGTGTGTGCATGCTTCTTTCACACGCACCTTTGGCTTTGTGTTGATGGGCAGGTTGCCGACGAAGATGGTGCGCTTATTCCTCTCTTCCTTCTCCTCTGCACTCATTCGTCCTGTTGTGGCCTCGGCTGTGTCTGCTGTCTTGTCCTTTTGATCTTTCTTGCTCTTCTTGCTCTTCTTTGATTTGTTGGCTGCACCATCGCCACCCTCCTCACCCTCTCCACCTTCCTCATCCTCGCCCTCGCTCCCCTGCTCTCCATCTGCACCAGCGTCACCGCTGCCGCCTTCCTCGTCCTCATCGTCCTCCTCCTCGTCATCTGTCTCCTCCTTGGCTGGCGGCATCACAAACGGATCGGGTGCGGCAAACAGGTCTGCGATCGCCGCATCCTTCGCCACCTCGGTCTTCGGGCCGCTCGAGCCAAACACAAACGCCATCCTCGATGTGTGCGTGTGCGTGTGTGTGTGTGTGGGGGGGGGGTGGGTTGGTTGGTTGGTTGGTTGGTGTGTATCGATGTGTCGATGCAGATGCGGTGTGTGTGTGTGTGTGTGTGTGTGTGTGTGTGTGTGTGTGTGTGTGTGTGTGTGTGTGTGTGTGTGTGTGTGTGTGTGTGTGTGTGTGTGTGTGTGTGTGTGTGTGTGTGTGTGTGTGTGTGTGTGTGGATGGATGTGGCTGGATGTGTGTATCTGCTGCTGCAAACACGTGCGCGCAAATCACGTTTTCCTGTTTTGCACAAGCAAGCAACGGCAACAGCAAACAACAACAACACACACCACGACCCACCTCACGTCCATCACCATGTTTGAGGAGGCGCTGAAACGGGCTGGCGTGGACGAGAAGGATGAAGGGACGCTGACACGCGCGCAGCAGTTGTGGTCGTTCCTGGACACCATGGCTGCCACCGACCCAAAAGGTGTGTGTGTGTGTGTGTGTGTGTGTGTGTGTGTGTGTGTGTGTGTGTGTGAATATGTTTGTGTCAATGTGTGTGTGTATGTACGAACGTCCTTGTTGCTGCTGTGTGTATGTCGTCCCCACATGCAAGAATACGCGTAGTTCTTCATCTCACCTGCGCTCGCACTCGACTGTAGCGTATCGTGAGTTCATCCGCAAGCAGATGGACGAGAAGAAGAAGATGGAAGAGGAGATGCACCCACCAGCCGCCTTTACCCTCCGCGCAAAGAATGTGCGCCAACTGTCGTTGATGCCGCTGTGTGTGTTGTGTGACTGAAGCCGCTGTTGCTGGTGTGGCCTGGCCTGCACTTGATTCTCGTCATTCCGTGCACACACTCATGGCACACCCTCCCTCACACACACACACTCACTCACTCACTCTCTCTCTCTCTCTCACATGCACAAACACACACACACACACACACTTACAAACATACACATGCATGCACCGCCTGAACCACGCGTGGTTCTGAAGATGAAGAACAACGACACGTGCCTGGTGTCGTTTTGTGGTTCGGACAAGGTGCCATATCCCCAGACGCCGACATCACCGGTGCCTGTCGTCACGCGAAAGCCGGTGCAGACAACCCATCAAGGCGAACCCACACAGCTGCTCGAGGTGCGCGTGTGTCCTTCTCCCCACCACCGTTCATGCCAATCTTGTATTGATGCAATCGTCTTCTTTAACCCTAACCCTAACGCTAACGCCCAGCCGCATCATCCCCACACTCACTCATTCAAGAACATGTGCTGCCATCTCCACCCATCACACACACACACACACACACACACACACACACACACACACTCATTCACACACACACACACACACACACATTCACACACTCATTCACACCACATTAGGTGATCTTCAACCCTCGGGTGCTTTCGGAGTGCGAGGAGGATGCAGAGGCGCACCGCATGCTGGTCGACCTTGCCCTGCGCTGCATCAACAGCAAGCACGGCGACACGTTCCAGCTGGACCAGGCGAAAACAGCCCGTCTCAAGCAGCCATTCACATACAAGGAACCCACGTTCCCGCCATCCTTTCAGCATCATCAACAACAACAACAACAGCAGCAGCAGCAGCAGCAACAGCGAGGGCCTTTGGAGCCGCAGGATTTGCTGCGAGAGTTGGCGCGACAACGCGCACAGAACGACACCACCGATGATGACGACGGCAGCGGCGATGGTGATGTCGCGAGCAGCGATGGTTTGTTGAGTGCAGTGAAAAAGAGCAGCGGGCGCAGTGCAAGCGGCGTTGAAACCTCGAGCATCCTGCTGCCGGGTGGCCTTCGCGCGAGCGAGGTCATTGGGGGCGGCACCAACAGCGCACCAGCAGCGCCAGCACCATCGTCGACATCGACAGCAGCGACGACAGGGTTGAGAGAGACAACAGCGGGCGTGAGGGCAGGAGAGACTCGAGGTGTATCACAGCAGCAACAGCAGCAGCAGCAGCAGCAGCAGCAGCAGCACGGGGTAGACAGCGATAGCAGCAGAAGTGACAAGAGCCACCAGCGGACTCGCACTGGCGGTCACGATGATAATGATGATGAGGATGGCGACAATGATGGTGATGGTGCGAGGCGCGCGTTGTCGTCACAGCAGCGGCCGCTCGTGCAGACGATTGCGTCCACATCCGGTGCCACCATCCCCACATACCGGTTTGCACCGTCGCCGCCACCCAACTCCACCGTGCTGGAGGTGGTGCTGCCTGGCGTGGCGACAGCAGCAGATATCGACCTGGACATTGACGATGACAGCGTGGAGTTGAGTGTGCCCGACCGTCACCAGCTGCAGGTATCGCTGCCAGCACCAGTTGACCCCGACGCAGCGCGCGCCAAGTTTGTCAAGGCCACCGCCACCCTCGTCCTCACCCTCCCGCACCAGTGACGTGTGTGTGTGTGTGTGTGTGTGTGTGTGTGTGTGTGTGTGTGTGTGTGTGTGTGTGTGTGTGTGTGTGTGTGTGTGTGTGTGTGTGTGAAAGTGTGTGTGTGTGAAAGTGTGTGTGTGTGAAAGTGTGTGTGTGTGTGTGTGATTGCATTTGCTGTGTGTCAGTGTATTTGTTCCTTTGTCTCTGTGCCCCTTTGTCATCCTCTCGGCAATACCGTGTGTTGTCGTGTTGTTTACTTGCAACGAAGCATATTCCCTTGTATATTCACACGCGTGCCTGCACGCAAGTTATTACCTCTCTCTCATTCCCGCAACCCTACCAGCCGCTACAATACGTCGTTCAAGCCAGTACAAGTACACATACACGACAACCGCACAATTGCACGGTCGCACACTCGCACAGGCAACGCCACTGCTGACACTGCTGCTGTCTGTATGTCACACTCACTCCACATTCACGCCATCATTGGCTTGGTTGTTGTTGTTGTTGTTGTTGTTGTTGTTGTTGTTGTTGTTGTTGTTGTTGTTGTTGTTGTTGTTGTTGTTGTTGTTGTTGTTGTTGTTGCTGGTGGGTCTTCTTTCTCGCTCCTTTTCCCTTCTGCTGCTGCTGCTGCTGCTATTCATGTTCTTGTACTTGTTGTTCTTGTTCCCGCGTGGCTGCCCTCTATCCTCCTTGTCCTTGCTCTCCTCCTCCATGTTCTGTCTCCCCTCCTCCCTGCTGCTGCTGCTGTTCAGGCAGAAGCTTTGGGTCACGGCGCGTCTTGCGTTTTGGCCGCGGGGCGTTGGGGTTTTCGTTAACGTAGAACAGCTTGAGCAAGTTGATGGCCCGCGTGCGCATGGGCCCGGCCTCCAGCTGCAACTTGGGCAGGCCGTCTGGCGTCTCGCACTGCAGCAGTGCCGTGTGTCATGCAATGCATTCATGGTGATGATTGGTGGTGATTTGTGGTGATTGTGGTGATGCTTGAGCGTTTGAGCGTCTACAGTGGTAGACTCAAACAGGCAAATAAGAACAAAGCAGTGCAAGCACACACACACACAATAACAACAGCTGCACACTCACTAACACACACATGCACGCGCGCGCACACACGCACAAGGATGCACACCGTACCGTGGCAACGTCCATGGTGGAGCCGCAGCCGCCGAACCGATCATTGTGGCAGCCAAACACGACTCTTGTGACCCCGAGCAGGCGCAGCGCATAGGCACACATCACGCACGGTTCAACCGTTACGTAGAGCGTGCAACTGGCTACAATATCCTTGGCCTTTTCCACATCTCCGCCGCACCTCGCAACACAGTCGTCAAAGGCAACCAGCTCTGTTCCCACATACATGTGCATGTGTTGGGGGTTGCGGAGTGCGATAGGCGTGAAGGGATGTCCACGAAGGATACAGAGACAGACGTCGAGGCAAAGAGCGGGAGAGGGATAAAGACAGAGAGGGAGACACACACACACACAGACACACACACACAGACACACACAGAAACGCACACAGAGCGACACTCACTCACTCTCACGCAAACATGCACACACACTGCTCACTCTCACACAAACATGCACGCACACATACAACAAGCCGTACCTGCGTGGCGGGTAGCGTTGTGCTCAATGTTCGTTTGGTTGCGCCCTGCTGCTTGTACGTTGCCGTTGTCATCCACAAACACGCAGCCAACAGGCACCTCACCCTCAGCCAGCGCACGCTGCGCCTCAGCCACCGCCGCCTCCATCACTCTGCTGAAAATTACCTACATTGCCCAACACTTTTCTACAACCACCACAACAAGCACAACAACAACAACAAGCACAACAACGACAAGCACAACCATCCACCACTAACCAAACCTTCAACCTCCTCCTCCTCCTCCTCACCACCTTCCCCATCTCCCCCCCCCCCAATCCCCGGTCCAATTCGGTGCGTATGAGAGGATGACGACGACGATGACGACGCCGCCGCCGCGAGAGGCGCCTGCACAGGCACGAGCGCTGTTTGATCGCTTCACAATGGGCATGGTGCAAACGTTGGAAGAGTGCGAGCATGTCGTGGACATTCGGAGCAAGCCCGCAGTGCCGTGCACCAGCTCGCAAATCGCCACTTGGGAAAGCACGCACACCCACCGGCTCCCCACAGATGTCAAGGACTTCTACCTCAGCTCCAACGGCCTGCAAATTGCGTGGACCGTGCTCTTCGGCCAGCAGATCCTGCCCCTCGGGTGGCTGCACATCAACGCCCTCGGCGATCTCAAGCCCGTGTCCGCCACATCCTCGTCTGCGACTTCCATGGCTGGCACCAGCAAGGCCAGGGCCTCCAAGCTGCCAGAGGGCGTTGAGGAGTTTCTCAAGTCCACCAGCGTCGCAGATGATACCCTCACCATCAAGCGGAGGAGACACATGCCGTTCCGAGCGTTTGCCCTTTCGCCTTGCGGCACGCACGCCACCGTGTGCCTCACCTTCACACATCCATCGCCGTCCATCTGGCTCCTGGACCGCAGCAAGACGTGGCACATGATCGCACGCACGTTCACCGAGTACTACCGCCTGATGACCCTGTACCTTGGCCTGCCGGAGTGGCAGTATGCGCTCACGACACTTGGGCCTTTGCCCGACACCCGCCGCTGGCTGCACGCCTTTGTACCCCCGCACGTCCTGCGCGACAACGCCCACGAAAGTGGTGGCGGCAGTGGTGGCGGTGGTGGTAATCAGCACGGCAGCACTCGAGATGGTGCTTCCAATGGCAGTGCGTGGACTGTTGCGGGCAGCACGGATCGCAGCGTCAGCCCACAGGGCACAGGCACCGACCACCATCATCAACATCATCAACATCATCAACAACACCACCAACGACAACAAAACGTGGTGGGCAGCAGCACGTGGCCCAACAGGCATGGTAGCGATGGTGATGGCGATGGTGGCACCACTGTCGCTGATGGCACGGTCGGTGCACGCTCCCGGCGCACGAGGGCTCAGTCTGCACTGCCAACATCCGCGCGATCGCAGCTGCGTGGCGAAAGCAGCGGCCGATACGACGCTGCCGGCAATGGGGCGGTGGCATCAAGGCATCGCCTAAAGAGCGCTGCACCTGGGCGCTCCCGGCGAGCGTCACGTGATCACCGCGACGCAGGCGCTGTCTCCACCACCACACACGCAACCAAGTTCACCAGCGGCGGCAGCAGCGGCGGCGGTGCGAATATGGGGGCGACCGCAGCAGCGGCAGCACACACGCGACGGGCCATGTCCAAGCTGGACCTGGAGACGGTGATGCGCCGCGTGCGCAACACCGTGGTGAGCCCATCCAAAGGTGATGGTGGTGGTGGTGGTGAGCAGCAGCACCAGCACCAGCAGCAGCAGCAGCAGCAGGTGCGGTCGAGTCAAGCACGACCGCCTCGGCCATTGAGCGGCGCGACGACACCCGGCACCACACGCACGACGTCACGCACCAGCGCCACTTCCAAGCAATAGCACGACGTGTGTGTGTGTGTGTGTGTGTGTGTGTGTGTGTGTGTGTGTGTGTGTGTGTGTGTGTGTGTGTGTGTGTTTGTCTCATCCTGTGCGGTCAGAACTTGCCAACGTGCAGCCTATTTACCAGGGGGACCGGTGGACCGGGATTAATTTTAATGGGACGGGAACGTCTATGGACGACCTAATCACTGCAATTAAAGTGGTCAGCCACTCATCTACAATGATCTTCAGAGAATAGCCGGATTAAGAGTACCCCGAAAAGAGGAGGGTAACATAAATCGGCTTGACTCCTTGGGGAACTACACCCCCAGTGAGCGTGCAACTGTCATGCGGTGTATCCTTACTGGGCCTCCACTTGTGACATATGAGTCGTCTGTGACTAGAATTTGAGAAGAACCCGTGGCGCCATCCATGTCACAGGGAGAGAGAGAGTGTGTGTGTGTCACACACACCCCCACACACACACACACACACACACACACACACACACACACACACACACACACACATCCTTTCCTCTGCCGATAATCAGCGTATGATTTTGTGCAATTTTCCTTTGTGTGGCTTGGCCGTTGCTGTCTGTTGTTTGTTGTTGGACAGATTTGCGCTTTGTATTTTTCGTCGCGCATGCACACAGCTGGCGGATATCGACCTGCGAGACACACCAGGGAAGGAACGCAAAGCATCAAGCAAGCAAACAAGGCTGGCTCACTCGCTTGTGCACCCCTCTTGCGATCTGCAGAAGCGCAGGGATCCAGCCACTGTTTGGGCTTTGCACAAAGTGATATTGTGACAAACGCAGAAGCAGGCCACCGAACAGACGTGTCTTGTTGTTTGCTTGCACTCTGCTGTTGCCGTTGAGTTTGCATTTGTGGCCCTTTGTTAGCTTGCCGCTCCAACGATTGCACGCCACCATGTTCTGGGAAGAGCTGCAGTTGCACACGGCGTCCAACCTGGACGAGGTGTTTGAGCGTGAGGTACGCTGTTCACCAGGCATCGCACACATGAGCGCAAATGCAAACAAACACACACACATACACATACACACAAACGCACGCTTCGGAGCGACCTCACGTAGTGCTTCTCACACGCACGCACACATGCATGTGCACTGCAGAGTTTCACGCTGGAAGACCTTCTCGAACACGAGGCCATGCTGCAAGAGTACCGCACAAATAACCTGAACCTCGTGGAGTTGTAAGCGCTCACATGCTTCTAGCTTCTGTCCTGCGTCACACGCTGTTGTGGCAATCAAAACAGCGATGATCAAGCGATGCCTGCAGCCGTGCCTCGTGCCCTGCAGCCAACCCTCATTGTGCGTTGCGTGTGTGCTTGCTTGTTGCCAGCTTGGCGAAGGACGAGAGCATCGAGAAGATGATCAACTACATCACACAAGAGCCAACGCACGACATGGACGAGAAGACACGCTTCAAGTGCGATCTCGTGCCGGATGTTCATGCAATTGAGGACTGCGTGTGTGTGTATGTGCGTGTGAGAGTTTGTGCTGTTCTGTGTGTGCGTGTGTGTGTGTGTGTGTGTTTATTGCTCTTGACCACAGCTGTTCTTGCTGCTGCTCTTGTTCGCTTGAACGCTGTGTGTGTGTGTGTGTGTGTGCACCATCTCACCACATCAACCGCGTCGTGGATTGGTGCCCGCTTTACCCCAGGTATCCCGACCTTGCCGCGGAAGTGCTGAGCGCAGACGTGTCGCCAACGGTGGTTGATGCACTGATGAAGGAGCAGCACCAGCAGAAGCTTTGGGCGTTTCTTCAGCAGGACGGCGAGCTGCACCCGCTGCTGACCAGCTTTGTATCCAAGGTCCTCCAGTCCCTCTTCTCAAGCAAGACCGAAGAGGTCAGTGTGTGTGTTGTGTGTGTGTGTGTGTGTGTTGTGTGTGTGTGTGTGTGTGCGCGCGCGTGTGTGTGCGTGTGCGTGTGTGTGCGTTAGGGAGTTGGTGATCGTTTGCCGGCGCAAGTGTGAAACACACTATTTGTGCTGTCCCATCACAGACGCTGCACTCACTTCGCTGCGGCATGTGCTAACACCGCCTCTTCTGCATCGTCTTCTCTCCCACAATTGTCGCCGTCATGCCTCTGCCATCACCACCACCAGATGACGACGCACCTGAAGGAGCACCCGGAGCTGCTTGAGGCCGCGTGGAAGCACATCAAGCTCCCCGCCATCGCCGTAAGACACACGCGCGCGCGCTCGCACGCAGGTGTATGCGCTGTTGTTGACTGCGGCAGCAGCAAATTCAAACGTCCTCACGTTCTGTCATACACCCTCCCATTCACTCCCTTTTTCACACACACACACACACACCTCCCCCTTTTCCCGCAGACGTTTGTGCTGAATCTTGCGACGTCGGACTACGAGCTTCAGTCGTGGCTGGCAGACGCGTTCGATCTCGTCGGCAAGGCGCTGGCTGAGCTCGACCCTGCGCACCAGCGGCCCCGCAGCGAGCTCGCAAACGTCGAGTTTGTGCTGCAGGAGATTGTGTACAGCGCGCGGCGTGACGGTATCGATGATATGCACGACGCGAGCGACCAGGTGCACGTGGGCAACCCGCTGCTGTCCATGCTGCTGCGGCAGGACACCATCACGCAGCTGCTGCAGCACACGTTTGGCGGGCATGAGCCGTCGCAGGAGGCCGGCATGAGCATCCTGTATGCGGTGCTGACACACCCGCCCCGATACGAAGATGAGCCCGAGCCCTCGGACGACGACAACGCACGCCTGCAGCAGGGTGCGTGAACATATATGTGTGTGTGTGTGAGGGGGGGGGGTGTATGCGTGGTGTTGTTGTGTGCGTGTGTGTGTGAGGGGGAGGGAGTATAAGTGTGGTGTTGCTGTGTGTGAACATATGTGTGTGTGTGCGTGTTCACATTTCTCTCGTGTGTAACCTCTTGTCTGCTTGCGCATCCTTGCATCCTCGCTGTGCCCTCACGTCCACTGTCCACGTCACTGCTGTGCGCGACAGAGCTTGCCACCGTGTACCCCGCTGTCGTGCCCTTTATTGAGAAGTTCGACGCAACCGTCCACAACACAGACGTGAGCACGCCCTCGCACATGCTCGCTGGCGTTTCGAACCTGCACACGTGCACAAGATGTAGCATGTGGCAACTGCTGCTTTTTCTGCACACACACACACACGCACACACACACGCGCACACACACACACGCACACACACACGCACACACACCAACACGTGTCGCCACCACCAGGGTGCCGGGGCGATTACGACGGCCTCTGGCACGACGCACCGGTTTGGAAGCGTTCGGCTGTCTGCTCTGCGCATCATCGCAGTCCTCTTCCGCGCAGACAACGACGCCGTGCTGGGGCGGCTGATGGAGCTCAACACGCTCGCCACGTGCCTGGCGCTGTTTGAGAAGTACCCGAACAACAACTTCCTGCACAGCGAAGTGTTTTCTATCCTGCAGCACTGCCTGAAGCAGCTGCCCGAGATTGAGACCAGCCCGCTCGACCGAAGGCTCGTCCACGCACTCAAGGGTGCGTTGCCATGATTGTGTTTGTGGAAACGTGTGTGTGCGTGTGTGGAAACGTGTGTGTGTGGGGGGGGGTTGCCTTTGGTGATGGCGATTGTTGGTGTGGGTTACGCTTGCACGTGGTGTTGTCGTGCTGTCCGTCGTTGATCTTACACGTGTACGCTTACACACTGACAAGTACTCACACACTGACACACGCACACACACACACTCACACTCTCTCACGAATGAATGCCTGCGTTGTCTTGTCGCACTGCAGACGAAGGGCTGACGAAGACGCTTGTGCAGCTGTGGCGCTTCAACAAGAAGGAGGAGGCGGCAGAGGGCGGCCACCGCCTCGGGTACATGGGTTACTACACGCTCGTCGCCAAGATGGTGCAGCAGCTCGAGAACAGGAACCACCCCGAGCTCAACGCCATGCTGTTCCCGGATGAGGACGTGCGACAGGAGTGGAACGCCATCAAGGAGGAGCTCGCCCCGGCCATCGCACTCTTTGAACGCCCGCTCGTACGTGCTGGCGCTGGTCTGTGTGTGTGTGTGTGTATGTGTGTGTATGTGTGTGTATGTGTGTGTATATGTGTGTATGAGTGTATGTGTGTGTGTTGGTGCTTTCAATCTGCGTGTGTGCCTTGGTGCGTCTGTCCTCCTTCGCCTCACTCTCCACCATCTCATCACCTTTACACACACACACGCACACACCCTCCCCTATCCATCCATCCCCCCCCACACCGCGTGCAGGGCGGGGAGAAACCGACCGGGTATGAGATGGACAGTGACGACGATTTCTTCGTGCCGCCGGCGCTCATGGGCATGATGCAGCAGATGAACAGCGCAGACAACGACTTTGACAGCTCCGACTACGGCGACGACTACTACTCTAAGCAGCTCACCCCGCCCATCCCAACAGACCTCATGGGACAGGTGCGCTCCGAGGGAGAGGAAGGCATAGAAGACTGTGTGTGTGTGTGTGTGTACGTGTGTGTGTGTGTGTGTGTGTGTGTCTGTCTGTGTGTGTGTGCGCGCGCGCGTCTGTCTGTTTGTCTGCCTGTCTGCACCTCTTTTCCTGTCTTTGTGGCACCTTTGCCTGCTGTCCCGTGTTCGCCTCGTCACACCACCACGACAACACCACGACACCACCACGACACCACCACGACACCACCGCCATGTTGGTGCATGGACGCGTGCGCCACTTTTCCACCGTACCCAGGACGAGTCTGACGAGGTGCTGTCGCGCGCGTTCAACCCGCGGATTGACCTTGGCTTTGGCGAGGAGGGCGTGTTTGCTGCCGGCATCCACATTGACAGCGCACTGGAGAACGACTACGAGGGCGACGCGATGGACGACACGCAAGAGTGGCGCATCCAAGCCATTGGTGACGACACCGCAACAACAGCCGCCACAAGCGCTGATGGTGCTGATGCTGCTGATGGTGCTGATGCTGCTGATGGCGCAGGTGTGGTCGAGAGCGGTGCAGCGATGAACACGAGCACAGACTCGTCGACGTCATCGGAGGGCGACGACGTCAACACCGCCACCGCCACCGCCACTGCTGGCAGCGGCAGCGCACACCCGGCCGTCATGTCCTCGTCTGATGATGACGACGATGCTGTTGATGATGCAGAGACGGCCGCTGCGGGCGAACAGGTGACACCGGGTGATGATGGCGATGCCGGCGACGATGAGGGTGAAGATGAGGAGGATGCTGAATGGGAGACACGTGCCATTGACACATCCACGGAAGCGACAGAGCAACAGCAGCAGCAGGAGGAGGAGGAGGAGGAGGAGGAGGGCGTTGAATTTCCCGAGCGCGACAGCGACGACAGCGATGACAGCGACAACGAAAACGTAGGACTGTTGTGTGTTCGTGTGTGTGTGTGTGTGTGGGTGGGTGGGTGGGTGGGTGTGTGGGTGGGTGGGTGTGTGGGTGGGTGTGTGTGCATGTGTGAATGTGAGTGCCTTTTGTGAATGTGAGTGCCTTTTGTGAATGTGAGTGCCTTTGTGATAGTGTGTGGGTGTGTCTTGACCATTCGTTCCTTCTCGTCCTCTCCAACAAATGCCAACTCACCAACCCCCCACTCAACCATCTTCACTGCCCGTCCCCAGCGGAGCGGGTCGTACGACTTTACACAGACGCCGCCATCACCTCGAAAACCGGTGGACGTGCCGCTGTCCCCACGCAGTGCGCAGGCGGTCAGGCACATCAGCCCAACACACAGCGACCGCGTCTCAAGCAGCCCCATCTCGTCCTCCCCGGTCCGACAACGGGCGTGCTGTTGTGGCGCCTCTTGGTGTTCTGTTGCTTGCTTCACTTTGGTTTTGCTGGCGTTTGGCTTTGGTTTGGGAATTGTTTTGACTTTGTTGATCTCGCTTGATTGCGCAGGTGTACTTCTACGCCACGCCCCCCTTCCCTCCTCGTCCTTATTCGTGACTTCTCTCACACGATTGCGCAACTTGTTTTGTCGTTCGTGTGTTTGTGTGTGCAGAACGTATCGGGGATTGACTCGTTTCGCTCCAACGGCGAAGAAAGCAAAGACGACGCCCACAACAGCAGCAGCGACAGCAGCAGCAGCGATGAGGCAGGCGACGACACCGACAACGGACGACAGGGGGACAGCAGTGCATCCACCGCAACAGCAGGAGGGAGTGACGATGCCGACACGCAGGCGGCGGTGGAGGCGGCCAGCGGAGCGCAAGACGTGACGGCTGCACAAGCAGGCGACGACAACGGTGGGCTGCGTGTGTGCGTGTGTGTGTGTGTGTGTGTGTGCGTGCGTGCGTGTGTGTGTGTGTGTGTGTGTGTGTGTGTGTGTGTGTGTGCGTGCGTGCGTGCGTGCGTGTGTGTGTGTGTGTGTGTGTGTGTGTGTGTGTGTGTGTGTGTGTGTGTGTGTGTGTGTGTGTGTGTGTGTGTGTGTGGGTGTGTGTGCTTGAAATTTTCATGCTTGTGCCGTGCAAGATGACACGTATTGCTCGCGCTCACGTCTGCACATTGATGGACGTGTGTGTTCGTGTGCAGGCTCTGAGGCGCAGGGGTTCGTCGGGGAATCACCAAGTGGACGGAGAAGGGTATGTGAGAAACCAATGAGCATGACGTTCCATGCATGCATTGTTCATTGCACTGAACTTCGCGATTCTGCAATCCTGAAGCCGTAATCACTTACATGCAACAACACGACACGCCGACCACCACCACCACCATCATCATCATCACCACCACCACCACCATGATCACGCCATCACATTAGGGGAAGCGGTCGCTGCCGACGACGCCGACCAAGACCGTCTCTTCCCCATCGCCGTTCTCGCCAGAATCATCCGCGTAGTCGCAGCCAATATGTGTGTGTGTGTGTTCAAGACAACGCAATGGGGAACAAGATAATGGCGCAAGCACGATCCTCGCTCTTGTTCCAATGTCTCCCAAAGCCGTGTCCCTTCTGGCCTGTTTTCGCATAGCGTAGCCCAGTGTGCATTGCTTGTCGCTATTCGTTGCTGTTCTTTCTGCGTCATTTTCTTGCGTGCCTTTGCTGGCGTCCATGGGTGTACATCGTTGTATGTGCACGTGCGTGTGTGTGTGTGTGTGTGTTGGCTCATAATTGCTTTTTCACATTTTTCTTTCTGCAAGTGCTGGAACGTTCGTGCCACTTGTTCATGTGCGCAACTTTGATTGGTTGTTGTGATTGTGCGTGCTTGCGTGTGTGTGTCTGTGTGTGTGTGTGTGTCCGTCTGTTCCATTAGCCCTTACTTCATTTCTTCCGTCGCTGCCTGTTGCGTTGCCTCGTGCTTCCTCTCATGTTTCTCTGTCTCTGTTGTCATGTCGTTACAATCCCACGCTGTGTTTGCTTTAACATACACCGTTCCTGTCCAATCCCAACGAGGCATGCACCACGCTTCCTTTGGTGTAGCGTGTGCGCATGTGCGTGTGTATGCGTTGTGCGACAGCAGACATGTATTCTTCTTCGTGGACGCACGCGCACACGCAGAACGTGCAAAACAAGCGCAAACAAGCAGTGCGAAGGAGGGCACGAAGGCACAACAACAAGCAACGAAGCAGCAAAGAAGCAACCAAAACAAGCAAACAAACCAAAGGCAACACGCAGAGCTCGCACACACGCAAAACGTGTAAGCATCGACATGTGCGTGCACGTGAGTGTGTGTGCACGTGCATGTGTGTGTGCGTGCACGTGCATTTGTGTGTGTATGTGTGTGTGTGTGTGCGTGTGTGTGTGTGTGTGTGTGTGCGTCTACTTGAGGATGGGGAGCGGGGTCTTGTAGAATCGGGCGGCGATGGACGCGCCGCGGAACAGACCGCGCGTGCTCAGATAGCTGTTGTCCTGTGCAGTGGCATGACACCAGGAACATGGCAGTGAGACGTGTGGTCTGTGTCTGTGTCTGTGTGTATGCGTGTTTTACTGTGTCTGTGTCTGTGTGTGTATGTGTGTTTTACTGTGTGTGTCTGTGTGCCTACGTATCTGCATGGGTTGCGCTATCTGTGCTGTGAGGTAGACACGCTTCCACCACCCGGAAGCGGTAGCAGTCGCGGAACGAAGAAAAGTCGCGCTGGAACGGCGCATTCGCCAGACGCAGGCTGCACACACACACGGCGCATTCGCCAGACGCAGGCTGCACACACACACACACACACACACACACACACACACACACACACACACACACACACACAATGGGGGTGAGGCGATGAGTGTGTGAAAGCTCCGCGCGTGTGCACCAAAAAACACCCGTTCTTCACCGCAGATTTCAACACAAGCTACATGGGACCCACTTTGATCCGGAAATGCACATCATGCGTGAGATGACGTCCCATGGATGGTACAGGTACGCAGCCAGGCTCTGCAGTGTGTGCATACGTGTGTGTGTGTGTGTGTGTGTGTGTGTGTGTGTGTGTGTGTGTGTGTGTGTGTGTGTGTGTGTGTGTGTGTGTGTGTGTGTGTGTGTGTGTGTGTGTGTGTGTGTGTGTGTGTGTGTGTGTGTGTGTGTGTGTGTGTGTGTGTGTGTGTGTGTGTGTGTGGGAGTGTGTTCACGCGCAAGACCGAGTGCACGTGCCAGGCAGTCATGCAGTGTCACCATCACATCACAATAACAATCGCTACAGTGAGTGCGCACGTGTGCATGTGTGCATGTGTGCATGCGCGGTGCTTACGGTGGCCATGAGTCCCGGGAGAATGCTGAGGAAGACGTTCTGTGCCTCTTGCTCCGGCGCACCAGCACCGTCCTCAGGCAGCACGCTCGCCTGCCAAAGGTGCCCACGCACCCATACATTTACGCATTCATGCAAAGCAAAGACGTGGCGCATCAGTCGCAGATGCACGCAGTGCAGCACAACTCAACAAACAACATGGAACATGGGAACACAGGCCGCCCACACCCACAAAACCCTCCAATCACCTTCACGCGTCCCCCACCCCCACCCCTTCCCCCAAGCACCACTTCTCTCTCCAAATTCCCTTCGTATCACCGCAGAGCCGCGTGGCAGCCGACCTTGATGGTATCGATGATGCCAGTGGCGCTGAGGAACGCCTCGCACGCGCGCACAGAGATGACCTTCACGCAGTCGAAAATGAGCTGTGCCGTCAGACCCCTGGAGATGGTGATGAGTAGATTGTGGTGGTCGTGATGGCGTAAGTGGTGATGGGTAGATTGGGGTGACAAGGAGGTGATGATGATTCAAGTTGGAATTGTGCAGTGGTGCGCACGTACAGACACAGCTTCAGGCACAAACCACACGCAAGGACACAGGCAAAAGAGCAGGGAGTTCACATGCAAGCAAACACACACGCACACACACATACACAAACAAACACACACATGCACACGCATGCACACCTGTAGAATCCTTCGATGCCGGTGGTATTGTAGATGTTGGAGGCGATGGTGATGGGCTGGAACTTGGCGGGGCCGTCCGTCTCGACGATGGAGGCCATCGTGTGGATGGAAAGCACTGCATGCGTGTCGGAGGGGCGCGCGTGAGAGCAATCACACAGGCAAGGAGATGCATATAGATTTTTACACACGCGTGTGGTCACACTGGCACACACACACTGCCACACACACACTGCCACACACACACACACACACACACACACACACACACACATGCACACACACACATACACACACACACACACACACACACACACACACACACACACACACACACACACACAAATACGCACACACACATGCTTTCTACGCCGGACCTTTGAGCGGGTGAACGACGATGCTGCCGACGCAGTTGGAGACAACCTCGACGCAACCAAATGTCAAGCGGCCGAGCACGGTGTCCTCTTCCACGGAAGGGAACGCACGCTGCACTGCACCGCGCAGGTACGCCTGCACACGCTGGGTCACGTATTGCTTGGACTTGGCCTCGAAGAAGGAGATCGGCCAGGAGCCAGCAAGGGAAAGGATACCGTGCTGCCGGTACAGCTCCCGCCCTGTTGATTGAATGTGTGTGTGTGTGTGTGTGTGTGTGTGTGTGTGTGTGGGTGGGTGGGTGTGTGTGGGGGGGGTGTGGGTGTGTGCATGGGTGTGTGTGCATGGGTGTGTGTGTGTGTGTGTGTGTGTGTGTGTGTGTGTGGCCACAAGCAACGTAAATTAACATGCGCGTGCCTGCTGCGTGTACGCGTGTTCTGCGATCGTACCAAAGGTGACAGCACCCGCGCGGCGCCAGCCGGTCCCTTTGAAAAGGCTCTTGGACATGTACTCCTCACGGGGCTCGTAGCCAAGCTGCAGCAGGAGCAACAACAAACAACAACAACAACAACAACACCAACAAATCACTCGGATGCGTTAACCAAATTGCCTGCGGGACTGCGTGCATCGTCAGTGTTCACCCCCTACCCACCCACCCAAACAGACATAAACGTACCATCATTAGGGTCTTGACCGTCGCCAGCGGCGACATGGCCAAGTCGATGAGCATATCAGCCATCGTGGACGGAAGGACGGAAGGAAGCCGTGGACAGGGCGGTTGTGACACACAGACAGTCAGTGCCGCTTGTTGCTTGTTGGGCTTGCTTGCTTTGTTGCGCACTGTTGTTGATATCTGCTATATTTTTGAGTGTCGTGTCGCCCACTATCGCTTTGGCGCGCTCGCACATCCACATACGCTGACGCACACGAAAACACGACACACACCAACCCGCATCGGCCCCACGACGCTTTAGCAGGCAAGTGGGGAGGGAATCATGGGTCGAGGTCTTCGTCAGACAACGCTGTCGTTTGGACCAGACCGCCGCATCTTGACTTCATCCACATCCACGCCTCCTCTCCCAAGGCGAACGCACTCCACCACTGAAGCATCCTCAACCGCATCGTCGTCCTCAACAGCGTCGTCCTCCTCGTCCAAGCGAACCAGTGGCGCCAGCGGCGCGTCGTTGTTGGCACGCACGCGAACCCTTCCACCATCGTCCTCGGCAGCGCGGACGAGCAGCAGCCACGCAAAGCGTCCAAAAGTGAGCCTCGGGTTTCCTCCGCTCACCAAAGCGCCATCGTCGTCGTCGCCAGCAAGCTCAACCAAGATGGACATTGATCTGAAGCCTGGCAAGGTACACGGCTACACATTGACAGTTGGCACAACAAGAAGTGAAATACCTGCGTTTGTCATTGCACATACACACACACAATCCTCTTGCGCCGTGACACTGTTGAGATCGCACTCACCCACTGTCCACAACATGCGATGAACGTGCACACACGCACACACGCGCACACACGCGCGCACACACGCACACACGCACACACACGCGCGCACACACGCACACACGCACACACACACACACGCACACGCCAACTTGGGGCTGAGTCAGGATGTTCCTCTGCCAGAGGATCTTGGCGCGACTTTTCCACCTGTCAAAGCGTCCAAGGGACACACGTGCCTGTGCCACGTACGTCTTCCGCGTCTGTCTGCCTTACCTGCCTGCTTGCCTTCGTATCTCTCTGTCTCCAACACTGGAGCATTGTTTGCGGATGGATTCACATCGGGCACTGCACTACGACACACACAGCCGTCCTCGCCAGCTGCTCCGGATCCACCAAAGCCCTTTGGCACTCCAATTGACATTTGGGACAGCTACCACGTGCGGTATGTCGTGTGTCTCTCGTGTGTGGTGCATGTGATCGCCTTCACTTTGCCGCACAAGCGCGCTCGTGCATGCACTGCCGCTGACTCATTTCGCCACTCACTCTCTCGCTTACACTTTCCCACATGTTCACTCACATGTTCACACACGTGTTCACACACGTTTACATACGCTGCCTCACACACGTTTACATACGCTGCCTCACACGTTCCCACACGTTCACGTTCGGCTCCCTGCCTCATAGGATGCCCACGTCCCCTAAGAACCAGTATGCGAATCGCCGCACAGACAGCGTGGAGGAGCGATGGAAGCTGATCACACACACCCTGCAACGCATGCAGTTTACAGACGCTGTTGACTTGCAGCGCGTGGTGCTGCGATTTAACCCCCGATACCGCTCGCGGTGGAACTTCAAGGCCCTGCAGGCATACTGCGCAGACAAGGTCGGCAGAGGATATCGAGACACAGGAGGCAGAAGATAGTTGTGTGGGTGTTTGTGTGTGTAGATGTGTTTGTGCGTGTGTGTAGATGTGTGTGCGTGTGTGTAGATGTGTGTGGGTGTTTGTGTGGGTGTGGGTGTGGGTGTGGTGTTGATTCAAACCTCTTCCTGAACATCAGACATGTGACCACTCACACCACGTGTTGGCCACCATCACCATCGCCACCATCGCTACCATCGCCACCATCGTCGTTGCTTTTGATTCCTGCAGACGCGCCTGAAGCGGCTGCAGCGCGTTGTTCCCAAGATTGCCCACCTCGCCCTCCGCCTTCCAGAACTGTGTCCAACACCCATCCCCATTCTCTCGCGCGACCGCAACCACTCGCTCACCCTCAGCCAAGCTCAGGTGTGTGTGTCTGTGTGTGTGTTTGTGTTTGTGTGTGTGTGTCTGTCTGTCTGTGTTTGTGTCTGTGTGTGTCTGTGTGTCTTTTTTCCCTCTGTCGGTTTACCATCACGCTTCGTCATTGCCTCCCAGGTACCCACACACACACACACACACACACACACACACACACACACACACACACACACACACACACACACACACACACACACACACACACACACACACACACACACACACACACACACACAAACACACACACACGTGCAGGCTGCGTGTCTTCTCGCGAATGCGTTCTTCTGTACATTTCCGCGCCGAAATGCGAGCAAAGGCCGCAGCACGCTGCCCAGCATCAACTTCAACAGGTGCAGCCAACCCTGTCACCACCATCGTCACCAACACACTCACTTGCGCACACAACCAACCGCTCATCTTCGCACAACCACCACCATCACCTCCACTTACTACTTTGCACTCACTTCGCGCACACACACACGCACACACACGCACCGCTCGCTCCTGGTTTGACAGCCTGTTTGCTGCGTTTTCCGGGAGCATCCCAGCTGTTGCCGAGGCGAAACTAGACTGCATTGTCAACTACTTTGAACGCGTGACGAGCACACGTGTGTATTCTCACTGCTGCCATGCCAGCAAAGCATGAGTATGTGTGCGGGTGTGTGTGCGGGTGTGTGTGCGTGCGTGTGCGTGCGTGTGCGTGCGTGTGTGTGTGTGTGTGTGTGTGTGTGTGTGCGGGTGTGTGTGTGTGTGTGTGTGTGTGTGTGTGTGTGTGTGTGTGTGTGTGTGTGTGTGTGTGTGTGTGTGTGTGTGTGGGTGGGTGTGGGTGTGTGTGTGGGTGTTTGTGTGTGGGTGTTTGTGGTGTGTGTGTGTGTGAATGAACGCACGCCAGTCGCTCATCACTTGAATGTTCCCTTCCGCACACCAACACTCACATCCAAATACACAAATACACCCCCTCCTCCTGCCATTGCTCTACTTGGTAATTCAGTGCCTGGGGGCGTGATTACATTTCACCGCCAGGCTCTCGCTGTCGACAACATACCAGACTGGGAAAAGTCAGATGCGCATGTGTGATGGTGTGTGTGTGATGGGTGATTGTACTGTTGGTGTTTGCCGACCTGTGTCCAATGTGTGCGAGTCTTTGTTGAGCCCACACTGTTGTGTATCACCTGTCCGTGCAGCCAAGCTCACATCCAATTGTTGCTACACACCATCAGCAGCAGTTGTCCGCTGACGCAGATGAAATGTTTCGCGCACGGAACCATTGAGGACCACGGCATTGGCATGTCGCAGGTGTGACACCAACATCTTGGCGACGCACACACACGCACACGCGCGCACACACACACATCCATTGCCTCCATGCTCCACACAGAAAGAGTGATCAACATCCACGCACACTCACTCAACTCACACACACACGCACACAAACACAAACACAAACACAAACATTTGCACGCCCGTCTGTAGGCCGACTTTGCGAACAAGATGATTGGCGGCGGTGTTCTCGGCCGCGGCGCTGTGCAGGAGGAAATCAGATTCCTCATCTGCCCAGGTGCACATGGTGTTTTGTGTGCGTGTGTGTATGTGTGTGTGTGTGTATCTGTCTGTCTGTCTGTCTGTGTCTCTGCCGGTCTGTGTATGAACGAGATGCACGATGGTTTCGCTGTTGCTTATCCTCGGTTGCCATCTCACTCCAACTATGACCGTCTGACAACCATTCGTACCCATGACACGCTACAGAGCTGCTTGTGTCTCGCCTGTTCACGGAGGTGTTGCTGCCCCACGAGAGCCTCATCATTACAGGTCAGGCACGCTTTCGTTGTGGCGGCTGTTGTGCCCTGCTTTTTCAACTGGCGCTATTTGAAATACTTCCATGCTGTCGGCAACATGCATCTTGAAGATGTGGGATATGTACACACACACACACGCACACGCACGCACACACGCACACATTGACATTGGTTTCAATCACATGCACGTCGCTCGAGTGCACATATCCCTGACCCTCTCCTCTCACTCCTTCAACACCCCAAACGTGACCTCTGTCCCGTGTCGCCTTTGCTTCCGTTGTCGCAGGCGTTGAGCAGTTTTCGCGCTACACGGGGTACTCGTCCACGTTCAGATTTGCAGGAAACCACGTCGACACCACGCCTCGGTCCGTCGTCACTGCCGTCTTTGTTTCCGTAGCGTGTATGTGTGTGTGTGTCTGTGTCTGTGTGTGTCTGTGTGTGTGTGTGTGTGTGTCTGTGTGTGTCTGTGTGTGTGTGTCTGTGTGTGTGTGTGAAATCGCATGCACCCATGCACCCACGTCCACACTGCCCATGCCTTCCCCCCCCCACCTTGATAGGGACGAGTGGGGTCGCCGCAAGACGCAGCTCATTGCCATCGACGCCCTCGTGTTCCGCGGGTGCGTTCTCGCTCTCCTTGCCTCTCCTTGGATGCTTGCCGTGCTTCCCCTTACTGTTGCTTGGCTGCTTGTGTGCTTATGGACCATCTCGCCATTGGAAACAGTTGGTGCGCACCTGCTCACACACACACACACACACACACAAACTCACGATTATGCCGTGCAGCCGTGCGCGCTACCAATACGACCCTCAACTTGTCAAACGCGAGCTCAACAAGGTAACGGCACGTGTGCAATGGTGACTAGGCCTGGTTCCTTTTTCTCGACTCACCAACTGACACACTCTCACTCACGCGCACACACACACGCGCGCACACACATGCACACGCACACACACACGTGCACACACATACAACGTTTGTCGGCGCGATCTGTGCGCGCAGGCGTTTGCTGGATTGTGGGTGAGGCGACCGCCACGTGAACACGCAACGCGCTTCCCCGTCAATGCAACATTCGCAACAGGTATTCTTTGTGTTCGTGCGCATACACGTGTGCACGTGCACATGTACGCACGCTTATGTGCATCCTCGTTTTGCTTTGGTGAAGCGAACGAGGGTTGGAAGGCGTTCCACCATACTTCATGTCTGCATGTCTGCAACAACAGTCCGTTCGGCTCCCAAGCTGCGCCCATTGTCAAGCTGCATGCTGCACACACACACACACACGCACGCACGCACACACACACACACGCACACACACACACCACATGAACACACCACATGAACACACACGCACCACATTCACACCCAAAGGAAACTGGGGCTGTGGAGCGTTTGGCGGAGATCCGCATCTGAAGGCGTTGCTGCAGTGGATGGCTGCGTCGTGCGGTGAGTTGTTGGGCCTCGTGCAACCAGTGCAACCCTAAATCATGCTCTTGCCTGTGTACAGTTCGCTTGTCGGGATTTGGACAGATAACGAGCAGGCGTGGAGTTTGCACAACTTTCCTTTTTGAACATGTTGCCATAATCTTTGTACATGGTGATGCATGTCGTTTTGCACTGACCTTGTTTCGTTTTCACGTCCACGTCCACGCACGCACCTGCGCGCACGCGAGCGCACTCACCCGCACTCATCTGCACTCACACGCACACACACACACTCACACACAACACGTTCGCGTTTCCACTCGCCTGCCGTGCGCAGCGGAGCGCAACCTGGTGTACTTCACATTCCAAGACGTTGAGCTGAAGGAGCTGCTGCAAGCAACAGTCCACAACATTCAGAAGAAAGGTGGGGGCACATTCCCCTTTGCACACCTGCACGTGCAATCATTGGCGCAGTTGAGTGTACACGTGTGTGTGTGTGTGTCTGTCTGTCTGTCTGTCTGTCTGTCTGTGTGTGTGTGTGTGTCTGTGTGTGTGTGTTTGTGTTTGTGTGTCTGTATCAGTGCCTCGATTCATCCACCTCTCACACACACGAACACCCCCCCCCCCACACACACACACACACGCAAAAACGTACAAACGTACAGGCTGGACTGTTGGCAACTTGTACACGGCACTCGAAGAGTACTCCATGTACCTTTTGGAACGGCGACAGCGGCGTGCGTCCTCTCTGCTGGAGTTTGTCAACTTGCGGTTGGAAGGGCAGCAGCCATCACACGATGACGATGACGATGATGACGATGATGATGATGACGTCGTTGGAGTGGACGCAGAGGAGCGCGGGCTGGGCGATCACGTGCTGGAGGATGAGGCGATGGAGGATGCTGTTGCGCCTGGCGTCGTGAGGCCTCCGCTGAAAACAGAGATCAGCGGCGACTTTGGTGCTGTGGCACGTGTGAGCGAGGGTGCCGAGGCAACAACCACTGCAGCAACAACTTCAGACACACCTGTTGATGACATTGAAGACGCCCCGTCCCCAGAGGATGAGGGTGAGAAGGACGCAGATGATGTGGAGGAGAGCCTGGACGATGATGAAGTGCTGAAGCTCGAGCGTGCCGCATTGGACGCGCTCTACGCCAAGTATGGCGACTGAGCGCTGACACGCCTGTCTGTAAGTGTGCGTGTGCGTGCGTGTGTGTGTGTGTGTCTGCGTTAGCGTATCTGTTGTCTGCGTTAGCGTGTCTGTTGTCTGTGTGTCTGTGTGTCTGTGTGTGCATGCCTGCGTCACACTGCGGCGCGTCTCCGTTTGAAGATGACCCTTCCGCACCAGTGCACTCGTGCATGACATGAGATGGGATGAACTTGCTTTCCGATAAACTCATTGATGATCATTCACCTCTTCACCTTTGTGAGTGACGAGACCCCTCGCAACACCCCTTGCAACATCCGTCTGTTGTGTGGTTGTTGATGCGCACTTCTCCACATATCCACCATTCACGGCGAGAGGAAAGTTGGCGGGTAAAGGGTCGAAAGGACAGTTTGTGCAAATCGCCCAAAGAGAAACTTTGTCATTGCACTACAAAATGTCGGACGCTCCTCACATTATTCAGATTATTCTTGCACAACCCACAAACTGTCACGCCACGGCGCGCTAACACACCGCAGTTCCCGCGTGGGTCAAGGCATTCCTTGTTCCATTTCCTCACATAAGCTCCTTTGCACCCACAGCACGCCCCAACACGAGCCAGACCACCGGCCGACCCATTGCCCAGCACCTTCACGCACTCCCCAAAACCAAAGAGCAACAATGGACCCTTCGAAGAACTGGACGCAGAGCGACAACACCGGCGCCAGTAGCAGCTCCAGCCCAAGCAGCTCCAGCAGCTCCAGCAGCTCCAGCTCAAGCTCCAAGAACAACACCAACACCAACAGCATGGACATGGATGTGGATATGGAGGCTGACGCTATGGATGTGGCACCCGACGCGTCCAAGGCTGAGCCTGCATCAAGCTCCAAGCCAGGTGCGCGTGCCATGGTGACTGCAGATGACCACGACCCCAGCGACAACTTCCTCAACACCAATGGAGAGGCCGACGTCATCCAACTCATGCAGAACATGGCTCTGGAAGTGGACCGACGCCACCCAGTGATTGTGCCGCCGGAAGAAGACAAGCAAGATGACGACGGCAGCAACACCATCCGCGTCGACAACGGCGTCCTCGACCTCCGAGGTATCCTCGTCCCTTGTGTCGAGGGTGACGAGTATCCGCAAGTCGGAAAAGGGCTGCTGACAACAGCAGACTTGCTTGAGGTGGCAAAGCGGCGCGCCCAGCCCAACACCAACCGCGAGGGGGGTAGACCCGATCATGACAACGGCGACGGCGGCAACCGCGGCGATGCTCGCGTCGATGACGATGATGATGATGACGACGACGACGATGACGACGGTGAACATGTCGACGAGGACGACGACGACGACGAGGACCAGGACGACGAGGACGAGCGCCCGCCTCTCAAAGTGGACTGGCCCACCATCTCCACCATTTGCTTCACGCGCCGCCAGTGGGGCCTGATGGACACGTGCCACATTCTCCTCGCGTGCCGGTGGCTTGCTGCAGGCAACCCAGAGTTTACCGGTATCAACCTGGTTGGCATCGACCTCAAGCGCGGACAGAGCGAGAACCAACCGCACTGCAATACCCCTACGCGAGACGACCGAGCCCAAGCCCTGGCTGGCCCTGAGTTCACCAAGCAACTGGTGCGTTTTGTTTGCGTGGTGTGTATGCATGTGTGTATGTGTGCATGTGTGCATGTGTGCATGTGTGCATGTGTGCATGTCCGTGTGCGTCTGTGTGTGTGATTGTCTGTGTGTGTGTGTGTGCAAGTGTGCGTATGCGTGTGTATGTGTGTATGTTTGTGTGTGCCTATCTTTCTGCCCCTGCAACTGCGAGGATGGGCAAGCTGGTTTGTTTGTTTGTTGTTGGCACACACTGTGGTGCTTCACTGTCGAAGCACAGCCACTTCCCACTCACGCCGCACTCGTTGCTGCGCTTCATTGTCGCTCGACAGGTCAAGGCACTTGAGGAGTACATTGTGCAGAACGGAGGCGTTCCTGTGTATCACCATGTGAACCGAGCCCAGGATGACAATGTCGTCAGAGCTGGCAAGGCCAGGCTTGCTCGCAACGCTGTCAACGCGCGCCACACCGCAAACGCAGACAATGCCAGGATTGCGCGCAGGAAGACGGTCCTGCGCGTGAGAGTGCGTATGGGCCAGGTCGAGCGAAGGCTCCCACTCGACCACCGTGCCGTGTTTGAACTCCTTCAAGACGAAGCTTGAGCCAACAGCAGGCTCATCTTCACAAGACAGAACAGCTGTGCTATGCTGTGCTCGGCTTGTTTCTTGTAGTCCAATGCGTCGCAAAGGTGACGCTTTGAGGCTTTGGATTTGCGTTTGTACAGTGTGTATGTACGTGCACGTGTGTGCCTTTGTACACGTTTCTTTTCTTCTTCTTTTCTTTTCGTCCCTGTGTGATCTGGACGCTTCGCATTGTCAGTTTGCGCGCTAGCATGCTTCATTCATGGAGATGTATCGCAGCACCAATGCAATGTAATGTTCCCACCCTCTTGGTCCTTTTCTTTTTTCCTTTTGCGTATTGTTTGCGCTCGTGTTGCGTGTACGTATCTCTGTCGCCTGCTGCTTTTTCTGCACTTCTGCCTGGCATGGTACTGCACCACACCAGGTCAAGCGCTGGCAGCATTCGTGTGTGTGTTCCCTTTAGGTTGCTGCTTTCGTTCATTGTTGTTTGTGCATGCTTTCTCGTTTCGTGATGCGCTTTGTGCGCCGTAGTGTTGTTGCGCAAGACAATGAACAGAGTGATGATGGTTTCTGAAAGCAGGGCTTGAACGAAGGTGTGGATGTGCTTGTACTTGAACGAGACACAAGGATAACAAATTCCCAAAAAGCGAACAAACACTACAAGGGGAGGAGGGTCAGTTACTCGTGACAGGTGCGTGCACAACGCAACAGAAGCCTACACAGTCAAACAACAGAACATGCATGCACGCACAACAAACGCAACAAAAGGACGGTCTATTCGACTCGTGACTGGATGGGATGGGGCAGGGGCTTCAGTCACGCTCTGCTACAAATCAACAGCACTCCGTTACAGCTTGAGCAATTCCTCCTCTGCCGCAGACAGCTGTCGCCAGCGAGTTGAGAGTGGGAGTGAGAGAGAGACAGTGTGTGTGTGTGAGTGTGTGTGAGTGTGAGTGAGAGAGAGTGAGAGAAAGAGAGAGAGAGTGTGTGTGAGTGAGTGTGTGAGCGAGTGAGTGAGTGAGTGAGTGAGTGAGTGAGTGAGTGAGTGAGTGAGTGTTTGTGTGTGTGTGTGTGTGTGTGTGTGTCTGTGTGGTGTTCAAGAGCAACGTTGGATGGATGCAGGTTCCGTACCGTTGGCGGTGGAATGCGCCAGAAGTTGAAACTGTTGAATTCCGGGTGTTGCTCATCTGTGTGTTTCCATGACGTAACAGCAACGTCACAACAGCACGCGAGCATGCGACAAATGCATGCACAGGGTACACACAAGCCCAGACACACACACAAGCCAACACACAAGCCCACACACACACACACACACACACACACACACACACACACACACACACACACACACAGAGGCAGAGGAGGTACCTGAACGGCTGGTTCCAACAGCAGGGAACACCTGGTCAACAATCTCGGTCAATTTGGCATAGGAGGACCTGATGACGCGATAATGTCCGTGAAAGAAAAGTGAGACGAACAAGACGGGAGGCGGCACGACACAACCACAGCAAGGAAAGGACACAGAGCAAAACAACAGCAGCAGCAGCAGCAGCAGCAGCAGTTGCCTCAACTCACTCGTACGCGCCCTTGGACACACGAAGAAGTCCCTTGGGGTCAACGATGAAGATCTTTGAGTCGGGGATGCCGACAGCGCGGTACGTCACAACATCTGCAATCCCACGCGTTCGCGAGCAGTGGTGGACGCAGGCCAGGATGCGTGAGAATGCACAGACAGATAGACAGACAGACAGACAGACAAACAAACAGACAGACAGACAGACAGACAGACAGACACACACACACACACACACACACACACACACAGAGGCAGCATAGCAACCTGTGTGGCGGTTGCCAAAGCCCGCGATGAGAGGGTTGTCGAGACCAGGAAACAGGCGCTTGACGCTTGAGAGGCAGGAGATCTTAAACTCCTCTGGGCGGCGGAGAATGACTTCGCGATGGAAGCTGCGGAAGAGGGAGGACGGCGAGAGCAAGATGGGACCCTCGGGCAGCGTCTCCCGGTTCTGTTGGATGTTGAGGATGTAGTCTGCAGCGCAGAAGTTGACAAGAGGAAGGGGAGAAGGAGGAGAAAGGAAGGGAAAGGAGGGCTGACGTGAGGTGGAAGGAGGGTCGATGCCAGTGCAAACGCGGACACACGGTGCAACACACACACAGCACAAACACACACACACACACATACGCCCACACACACACACACACACCCTTTGTCTGTCCGGACTGGCTGATGGAACGGGAGGAGAGATAGACAAACTGGTAGCCGTTGCTTGCGATGCGGGAGAATAGGGATGCCACGCCCCGCTGGGTCCAGTCCGTGCCAACCAGCGCTGCAGCGTGCCCAAGCACGTCTGACCGCGTGATGGTCCCATCAATATCTGCACACATGTGAAGTGTGTGTGTGTGTGTGTGTGTGTGTGTGTGTGTGTGTGTGTGTGTGTGTGTGTGTGTGTGTGTGTGTGTGTGTGAAGCAGATGCGCAAGAGCCAAGTCCACTGAAGCCGCTTGAGAGTAGGAAAGCATGAAACGTGGTGCATCACAAGAGGGCAGTTGTGGCACAATGCACGCGCCAGCACTGACCAGACACGACAATCTTCGTATCGTAGTTCCACAGGAACACGTGGCACGTGACCTGACACACGCGCACGCACACGAGGGTGAAAACAGCAAAGAGGACGACGTGAGCTCGCAAACTCCAGCAGCCATACGTTCAGGCAAAAACACGCGCACACGTACACATACACACATACACACATACACAGATGCAGACAGACAGATACATGCACACACAGAGACAGAGGCAGATCCGGCTTACAGAGGCGGTGCCCTGGAACTTGCTGGCGACGGAGAATTCAATCTCGTTGAAGCCCTCGTTGAGGTTGAGGGAGGCGAGCTGCTCTGATGTCAGATACAGGCTGCGGCGGTGCGTAGCAAGGAACGACCTGTTGATGGTTGGTCAAGAAGAGGGGTGAGAACAAAGCGCGTCAAACCAAGTTGAGGCGTGTGGATGGCGTGCTTCGATCGCATCCATGCAAGCCACACACACACACACACACACACACACACACACACACACACACACACACACACACACACACACACACACACACACACACACACACAGACAGACAGACAGACAGACAGACAGACACACCCACACCCACGCACACAGACCCACACACAATCCCCAAGCACGTTCGTGTGCACGTACTCGTCGGCGGAAGTGCGTGCGCTCTCCCTGCTTGAGTCGAGGCCTTCGCCCGCGCTGATATCGTCCTCCTCCGTCTCCGTTGTCGGCTCTGTCGTCTTGCCCTCATCTTGGGTCTTGTTCACGTCGCTCGTGGACTGCCGCCAAAAGAACCACGACCGCTGCTTTGGGTGGTGCTTGTCAACGAGCTTGTCTGCAGGGTGAGGAGGAAGGCACCCAGAGGGTGTTGGGGGTTAGGTCGAGGTTTAGCAGGCGGCAGGCGAGCAGAGCAGCGCAGAGAGATGACAGACAAAGAGCAGCCGAACGCACAACACACACACACACACTGCAAATGCAAAGAGCGCGTACCGACGGTGTCTGGTGGAAGTGGCTGCTTGAAGACGAGCTGGGCCATAATGGCGGGGGCAGCAACCTGTTCACGACAAAGAAGGAAGCAGTCAATTGGTGTGGATAACAAGGTGAACCTTGAGCAACATGGACCGCAAAAAAACGGGGCCTACTCACCAAAACTTCACACACGCAGACACGCACACAAACAGAGGCAGAGACAGAGACAAAGACAGAAAGACAGACACGCACACAGACACAGAGAGACACACACACACAGACTGACTGACACACACACACACACACTCACACACACACACACTCACACACACACACTCACACACACAAACAGACACAGACACAGACACACACACACATGCACAACAGCACCTTCCAGGCGAAGAATTTGTCGTGAATGCGCACGACAAGGGACGTGTCCTCCAGCAGGTGCGGGCGCTTGCACAGCATCTCAAACGTGACCCTCTTCTCTTCAAACCGCTCTTGCATCTCCTCGTGCGCAACACCAGCGCTCAGCCCGCACAGCGACAGCGCCACATCCATGCCGGCGTCACCAGCCTGCGGCGTGGGCGTGCTTGGCCCCGATGGTTCATGGTCGTTCTCGGAGCCCGACCCACCACCACTCAGGACCACGCCTTTGGCCTGCAGCAGCTCGGGAAGCACCAGGCTGTCTGCATCAACGCCCTGCGACGGAAACGCGGGGGATTCGTCCGGTGGCGATGACGACGACGCGTGCGACGCCTTCGACTGCTTCGACTGCTTCGACTGCTTCGACTGCGTGTCGCGTCGCTTTTGGCGCCGCCGCTGTCCGCGATGGTGGTGGTGGTGCCTGTGCTTCCTGGTGCCGTGGCCATTCGATGGGGACGCATCACTGTCATCAGCATAATCGTCATCGTCATCGTCTTCACCGTCGTCATGGTCGCCTGTGCGCTTTGAGGGCAGCGCTGGTCGCGATGATAACGATGATGATGATGACGACGCCGCGATGGGTGCGCCGTGTGCAGTGGCGGGCCGGTTCTTGTCACGATGAGCACCATGGACCTGGTGGCGTGCAGCCTGGCGTCTGGACGGGTCCTCCGGTGCGCTGTCGTCATCGCTCGCAGCGCCAACAAGCCACTCGGTTGGCACGTGCTCGGTGTCCTGCAGGCTGTGGTGGCGGCGGTGCTGCTGGTGCTGCTCGCGTCCTTCGTGATTGTGGCGGTGGCGGTGGTTGCTGTGCCGGTGGTGGTGATTTGGGTGATTGTGGTGGGGACGGCTGTACTGCTCGGGTTGCTGGCCTAATCTACCTGTGCTACTACTCACGTTCAGCGCCACACCGCCCTCGCCCACGCTGCCAACACCGTTGCCGCCGCTCCTGGTGCGGGTGTGCTTCTTCTTGCTGCTGCTGTTGCTGCTGCTTGTGTCACGCGACACGGGCTTGGACTTGCTGCGCGTCTTGCTCCTGCTCTTGCCCTTCAGCTTCGGGCTCTTCTTCTTCTTCCCGCCAGCGTGTGCGCCCGCCAGCGCGCGCCCGTTGCTCGTGGTCGGCGGGTCGTGCAGGCCGCCAAGTGCACGTGCGCTGCCGAGCGGCGGGCTGCTGGAGAAGTGGGAGAGGCCCTGCTTTGCACGGCGCACACGCGCGTCCCCAAGCACCTCGCTCGGGTTGGACGTGCACACGGTGTTGGAGCTGCGGCTGCGGCGGACCCCGTATGCATTGGTCAGCGTGCTGATACGACTGCCAGGTAGCGTGATGGGCACATCGTGGAGGCGCAGGTTGTTGTGCTGCCGCAGCGCGCGGTTGTGGGCGATGTCAGTGTGAATGCCACCATCACCGCTGCCGTTGGTGGTGTTGGTGTGGGCGCTGCTGGTGTCGAAGTGAAAGTGGCCGTGGTGCGTGGCACGTGGTGACGGCGACGGCGAGGATGAGCTGTGTGAGGACTTGGCCGTGGCGGGTACGGAGCCCGAGCGACGCGGCGAGGCGCCCAGCACGGGGCTGTCACCACCAATGGCGTTGAGACCATGAGACATGCTGCCGGATGCGCGGATGGAGGAGAGGCCGCGGGTGTGCGGGCTCGGCTCGTGGATGTGCTGCACCAGCGCCCCGTTCCCGCTCGTCCCATGCAGCGACGACGGAGACATGGACGACGCGCCCCTGTATCAGGTGGTGTGGTGTGGTGTGGTGTGGTGTGGTGTGGTGTGGTGTGGTGTGTGTGTGTGTGTGTGTGTGTGTGTGTGTGTGTGTGTGTGTGTGTGTGTGTGTGTGTGTGTGTGTGTGTGGAGGGGGGTTCGGGTGGCAGACAATGCAGTGAGAAAAAGGAGTCAGTGAGAAACAGGCAATGAGAAAAAGGAGGCAGCCCGACCATCTACATCCGCAGACAGACAGACAGACACACGCACGTAACACACGCATGTGCAAGCGGAGCCTGCCGTACCAGCGTCTTGGATCGGAGTGGAGGACGTTTGGGACGTGTTCGCTGTCATGCGCCACCTCAGCCCGTGCCGCGCTCGTGCTGTGAGGCTGTTGCTCATCCCAGTCGTTCACACGTGCAAATGCAGCCGTGGCCACATCCTCCGTCGACACGTTGCTGCCTTCACGCCGTGCATTGCGTGAACGGGCATTGCCATCAACGTCATCATTGTCACTATCAACGTCAGCATCGTCGTCGTCATCATCGTTGTTGGATCGGTGGGAGGAGCGGGATGGTGTGGTGGCGGCGGAAATGGCGGCGCGCAGGGCATCGCTGCGTCGCTCGCGCGTGCGTGCGCGGTTGTCGTCATCGTCGTCACTTTCCTCGTCAGCGGTGTTGCGGGCAGTCGGGTCATCATCGTAATCATAGTCATAATCGTCGCCAGCGCCAACGCCGCCGTTGTTGTTGTTGTTGTTGTTGTTGTTGTTGTTGTTGTTGTTGTTGTTGTTGTTGTTGTTGTTGTTGTTGTTGTTGTTGTTGTTGTTGTTGTTGTTGTTGTTGTTGTTGTTGTTGTTGTTGTTGTTGTTGTTGCCATTGGTTCCGTTGCTGTTGTGATGGTTTGGCGCACAGCGCGAATCGTCCTCATCGTATTCCTCGTCATCACCGTCGTCGTCGTACTCATACTCCTCGGCATCGTCGTCAGCGTTGGTGCCGCCAGTGCCACGTGCGGTGCCTGGCCCAATCTCAAGGTACTCCCTGTCCTGATGGCCTGCAAGCATGTCCTCTGATGTCCTCTGAAGCCGGCTGCACCGTCTCCTCCTCCTCCTCCTCTTCTTCATCGTCATCATCGTCATCATCCTCCTCAACGTCCTCCTCCTGGTCAGTCTTGCATGGCAAAGATGAAGAGACCCAAGGATGACAGGGTAAGACGTGAGATCATGCAGGGATAGGCTGCGAGAGACAGAGAGGCAGACACACAACATGGACAGGAAAAAGGCAGACAGACGGACAGACAGACAGATAGACAGACAGACAAACACACACAGACAGACAAACACACACAGACAGACAAACACACACAGACAGACAGACAGATGGACAGACACACACACATACAATAGCCATGCTCACACACAGGGCACGAAGGACACGCAGATGCGTACTTGGCAATCTGGCAGGTCAGTTCCGATGGGCTGGACAAAGTAGCACTCGCCTTGCTTGCCCACTTTCATTTCAAAGCCACCTTCCACCGGTACTTGATTCACGCGGATGTTGACCTGTTGCATGGAAAACAAGGAGTGCCCGCGGACAGACGGGTGGACAGGAAGGTGGACAGGCAAGTTGACAGACAGAGGACACACAGACATTCACACAGACGCACACACGCAAAGAGCTGAGTGTGAGAAGGGATTGCGTGGGCTGTCTACGCGCCTTTGCACGTGCATGTGTCAGAACAAGGTGGATGTGGCCCAGTATGTGATCGCGCACGACGCACCACGCGCTCCTTGGGGCGGAAGAGGGTGAGCTTGCCGAACCGAACGTGGAAGGGTGTTGAGAGGAGCGAGCCATCAGCTTGTTTGACGACGATGACGTCGATTGCACCGCTCAGCGTCGCCGGGTTGAGCTCGTCCCAGAAGGCCTTGATGGGCCGTAGGAAGTCCATACTGCCGCGCAATCACTCAACGTGCACGGCGCCGCCGTTGCTGTGGGCTGGACCGTGCAACAGCGTCGCTCAAACCAAAGTCGTGGCCGTTGACCCTGAGGTGTGTGTGTGTGTGTGTGTGTGTGTGTGTGTGTGTGTGTGTGTGTGTGTGTGTGTGTGTGTGTGTGTGTGTGTGTGGTGGATGGATGAGTGGATGTGTGGACAGACGTGTGGATGGGTGAATGCCCCGTTGTTCGCAGAAGAACAGCAGCCGCAAATACAAACAACAAACGTGTGTCCGAGCAAACAAAGTACCTCAACCCACGTGGCTGTGATGTGATGTGTGTGTGTGCTTGTGTTGTGTTACATTACTGTGCGCCACGCAAGCTTTCGCAGCACTGAATGTCACCAAGCACATCCGTGCGTGCAAGCGTGTCGTCTCACCGTGCTTCTTGTCTCTGGTTGTACCTTGTGTGTGTGTGTGTGTGTCACACCCGGCCTTGTGTGCCAGCAGCGTGGGTTTGTTGTGTTGTTGATCTTGGAGGCGTTTGTGCGGGGCGATTTCCGCAATCCATCACAATCAGCAGCGGCCGCCATTCAAAAATAAACACAGCTCTTTGTGCGCGTTGCTGATGACTTGACAGCAATTGGAGAGATGGCCTGACTCGCCGCTGTGGTTGTCATGTCATGCCATTGATGCGAGTGTGCACCAGACACAGGGTGTGCAGTTTGTGGTCGTCTCCCTGCTTTGCACCTTCATTGCGCTACGCTTTCTTGCTCCAAGCATGTGCGATTTGGGGGGTTTTGCTGTTTGCGTTGGACACACACAACGCGACACGCTACGGCTGGGCAGAACCCGCAAAAGAAACGCAAGTGCGGGAAAGCAGTAGCAGCAGCTATGCCAACGTTGCCCAGAAAAGGAGGAGATCCAACAAGGAAGGAAACAGGGAGAGGAAGGGGAGCAAGAGAGTTCACGGGGCGCGACACGCAAACACCTCAGCCAGGCACACGGCGACAAAGCCCACACAATACATGTACACACGCGCACATACACAGTCGACAATCACGGGTAGAGAGACAAGTTTCCAAAACAAATGCACAGAGAAGAAGCAAGTGTGCTTGGTTCAATGCTGCGAGGCTTCACTTCACATTCACACATGCAGACAACACGACAGCACGCGCGTACACGTACACATACACTCACATGCCGGTGGAATCACCACCAAACACTGCAAATGGGGAAGAGGAGGAACAAAGAAATGGGAAACGCAAGGAGGAAGAAGAGGAGGGGGAAAATGCGACACATGCACAACGGCGAAAACGTGCGAGCCGCCGCAAGCACGCCACGCAGCAAGCAAGGTGCCACGTGCGCAAACGCACAGCCCAATGGACACCACACCGCTACCAAGTCAAAGGGGAAAAGGAGGGGACTGGGTCGAGCGAACCTCAGACCGCAAAGGCGGAATGACAAGGAACACCGACAAAGAGAGTGGGCAGGGGAAAGGCTTGACATGGCAGACAGGCAGTTTGGAGAGACGATGCGCGGGGCAGAAAGGGGGAAAAGAAAAGAGGACACGAAAGAGCACGACAATAGGACATAACGTCACATGAAGAGAACACACGAAACAAAGCCAGCAACGCCACAACTCTCCCACACGATCCCGCCTTAGATCTGGAAGACGAGGGAGGGAGGAGGCGACGCCACCAAGTTCATTTCACGAGGCCAATCTGTCCTTTAGTTCTCGTCATCGCCGTCCACGTTGTCGGTGTCCGAGGTCCAGAGCTGATGGTTGAAAGTGCAAAACAAGAGGAAGCGGAGGGAGCAGAGCATGGTAACAGGAAGAGCGGGTGAGTGGATGATCGCAGTCGTGTAATCCAGCGACAAGGTCAACACACACACACAACACTGCAGATCCAGCGACTGATAGTGGCACTCATACACGAGAACGGGAACACCACCACCACCACGACCAAACAATGTTTCATTCGTACCGTGAGGTTGTCGCGCAGCAGCTGCATGATGAGTGTGCTGTCTTTGTACGACTCCTCGTTGAGGGTGTCGAGCTCGGCAATGGCGTCGTCAAACGCCTGCTTGGCAAGGTGGCAGGCCTTGTCGGGGGTGTTCTTGATCTCGTAGTAGAAGACGGAGAAGTTGAGGGCAAGGCCGAGGCGGATGGGGTGCGTGGGCGCCATCTCGGATTTGCTGATGTCAAGGGCCGCCTGGTAGGCCTCCTGCGAGTCGTTGACAATCTCTGCACAGTCGGAACAGTAAGTGCGCAAGGGGCATGTGGATGAGTGTGGAAGAGAGAAGAGAGTGTGTGAGAGGATAGAGAAAGACAGACAGACAGAGAGAGAGAGAGAGAGTGTGTGTGTGTGTGTGTGTGTGTGAGAGAGAAAGAGAGAGAGAGAAAGAGAGAGAGAGAGTGTGTGTGTGTGTGCAGCAGCAGCAGCAGCAACAAAAACAACAACACGTGTACAAATGCACACAACCCACAGAAAACACACGAAAACAGCAAAGAGATGCAACGTACTGTCGCGGTCGTCGCCGGTTGCGACCTCAGCGAGGTAGCGGTAGTAGTCGCCCTTCATCTTGAGGTAGAAGACCTTGCTCTCAGAGTTGGTGGACTTGGGGACGAGGTGGTCGTCCAGGAGTTTCTGATGAAAGAGAACCAAGGAAGCAGTGAGAAAGGCACGTTGTGCGAACGCGTGTTTGGCGGAGCAGAGACTTGGCAACCGTAATCGCTCGCTCAAATTGAGAAACCACACCAACCCACAGAAACAAAGCACACCGCTACCACCAAGGTGATACAAAAAGGTTGCACGGTTTGACTTACCAGGACCTCCTCGCAGATGGTCTTGAGCTCACCCTCAATCTTCTCCCTGTACTCCTTGGCCATCGACTGCTTGCGCTCGTTGCTCTCGGTCTTCTGTTCGATGGAGGAGATGACACGCCAGGACGAGCGGCGGGTGCCGACAACGTTCTTGTAGGCGACGGAGAGGAGGTTGCGCTCCTCGGGGCTGAGCTCGCTGTCCATCTCGGTGACCTTCTTCATGGCCGCGGCCATGTCCTCGTAGCGCTCGGCCTGCTCGGCGAGCTTGGCCTGTGTCACGGTATCGTCCCGCTCAGACATGATGCTGTTTGTTGTGGGATAAGGGGGTGTTCTGCAGGCCAACAGGAACAAGAGAGCCAAGACAGAGACCGTGAGTGTGTGAGTGAGGGATGGCTTGAGTGTGTGCGTGTGAAACAACAAAGATGCCGGCGATAGCTGGTGTTGGTTCGTCGTCTGTATGCTGTTGTCGTTTGTTCAGCCTCCTCACACAACACGCACACATCCACAAAAGCACACTCTCACGGCGCCACCAATGAATCGACTCAAACCACCAACAACACACCAAAGAACTGGGTGGAAACTGACAGCGAAGCAAGCGCAAGGAAAGACAGAGAGGAGAGGAGAGGAGAGGGATTGAACAGGGGTTGGAAATGCAAGCGAACAAGAGAGAGATGCAACACAAAGGGTGGGTGCGGGAAAGGTAGCACAGAGAAACAAGATGGAGCGAAAGACACACGGAAGGAACCCCGTTGCGAAGACAGCCAACAAACAAAAGCCAAGGAGAAAGCGGGTGTATCTTGAAACAGTCAAAGTAAAGTAAAGTGTACAGGCGGCACCACCCGAAAGCAAGAGCAGAAACAAGGGCAAGCGAGCGCGCGTGATCGGAACACCATTCAGTGCGGAACCACACAGCCCCATCTCGTGCGTGTGTGTTGGTTGCATGTTTGGTGTGTTGTGCACGCTTTGACACCCATCAACAAAGCGACAACAAATCAGAGGCAGGGCAAACGGTTGAATGGGCTACGGTTCGGTGAACAAGAAACAAACACAGCCCCATGGTTGAGGCAAGGCGAGGCGAGGACTGAGTCCACCATCAGCACCACCATCACCTCAACCCAAACAAAACAGGGAGCGGGGATGGAACAAAGCCAACAACCGTTGAAACCAAACACACAAACAGCAAACTCAAGAGGTAGGGAGGGGGAGGTGTGGACCTTGCCACACCCAGCCATCTCTACACCCATTGACGGTCACCCACAGCTCGGAGCACACGAACAACAACCAACAACCAACAACCAACAACGCTCAGCACCACAAAAGCTGCCGTCCGTCCGCTGCTGGTGCTGTTGGCGAACCACCACCACCACCAATGTCGTGCATGAAATCCATCCATCACTCGCTGCACACGGCGTTGGCTTCGTGTGTGCATGATGGCTCCCCGCTTCAGTCGCCTCTCCCAGAGAGCCACGCCATCATCATCATCATCATCATCATCATCATCATCCCTGATCCAAACACCAAGCTCCCATCCCCCATCACCATCACCAAGCGCGGCAGGTTGCTTGTGCTTGCCTACCTGTTGAGTTGAAGGGCTGAGTTGGCGCTGTGGTGGCAAGCGGTTGTGTGTGTGAATGTGTGCAGTAAGAAAAACTCTCTTTCTCCTTTCCTCTGGCTGGCAAGAGCAAAGAAGCAACAGCGGAAAGAAAAAAAACGACGGATGCTGTGTGTGTGTGGCCTGAACGGACGTTGCAAAGAAAGAAAGAATTTTGTGGACTTTTGGTGAATGATTTCTATTGATTGTCGGGGTTCGATGGTGCGGAAGTTGTAATTGCTGGAGCGGCAAAAATGGGGCTCAGCTCATAACACACTATCCACCATCGAAACGAACAGATGCACGATTGCAGCAATCGTCCACCAAAAGCGCCAGGACAAAACAAGCAAGAAAAACGACATCTATTTTTGGATGGAACCGGGCGAATGGGTTGGCAAGTGTGTTGTGGTGTGTGTGCTTGTGTGTTTGTGTGTTGTGTGTTGGCGTCAGTTGGTTCTTTCCCTTCTTCTTGCTGTCTGTCATCCTTGCCTTGCGTTGTCCCTTGCCTGTGCCTTTTGGGTTTGGTTGGTTAAGCCTCCTCTTGGAGTTCCAGGAGGGTTTCCAGCTCCTCCACCAGCGTCTCAAAGCGATAGGCGCAGCGCGTATCAGGCACGTTGGATTGCCTATGTTTGGGTGTGTGTGGGAGGGGGGAGATGTGTGTGATGTGTGTGTGTGTGAGGGATGCAAGGATGGCAAACGTGCACACACATACTCGCGCGCGCACACACCTCACGTATGCACACATCCCCCCCCCGACGCACACGCACACACACACACACACACACACACACACACATACACCACCACCACCACCAACGTACGCAATGTTGTTGCCTGAAGGGCCGGCGCTGTCAAAGTGGTCGCCGAGCCAGTGGCGCTTAAACTCTGCAGGGAAGCCGCTGATGCGAACAGAGTTGGCGCAAATCTCGCACACATCCACGCGGGACAGGCGCCACACCTGCGACGCAATGCTGTACTCCTCAATCAGGGGCTCGCGTGACAGATGGAACAACAGCGGGTCGTCTGTTTGTGTGTGTGTGTGTGCACTGTGGTGTGTGTGTGATGTGTGGTGTGTCTGTGTGGGGAATGTGAGAAGCGGGGTGGAGGGTGAACGACGACTGCTCAACGCACGCCTTCCAAACACGCACGCAGAGTCACGCGAGAGCAAACAAACAAAACACCAAACCAAACCAAGCAAACTAACAACCTCAACAAACAAAGAAACCAAGCAAAGGTCAGAACACACACACGTACACAACACACACACAAAATACGGACCGGTGGAGAGGGTGACGTTCATGCCCATGGCATGGAAGTTGGGGAAGGGGTTCTTGTGATAGTCGAGGAAGAGGTGGTTGTTGCTGAGCGGCGACACAGAGAGGCCCACCTGGCACAGGTAGTACAGGTACTGCAGCACGGGCGCCTGTGGCAAGTTACACCGCAACATTGGGAATGGGAAACAGAGGTCAAAGTGAGATGGGGTATACACACACATGTGCAAGCAAGAGCAGGCACACGCGCACACCCATACCCACACCCCCACCCCACACACACACGCACACACACACACACACACACACTTACTTTGCGGAGACGAATGCCGTGGGAAATGTTCTCGCTGAGAAGGTAGGTGGTGACCAGGTGCTCGATGGAGCCCGCCTCGCCAGAGTGGGGGCGGAACGCAAACGTGTTCAGGCCCTTGGCCTTGCGCAACTTGTTCAGCACGCTCAGGTTGGCATACGTGTAGTACGCATAGTACGAGTACGACGGGTTGTCGGGCTTGTCCCACATCTCTGGTTGCTCGCAGCTGCGTATATGCGTGTGCATATGCGTGTGTGTGTGCATGTGTGTGGGTGAGGACATAAATCACGCAGCAACACAGGCCATGTGCACTCGTTCCCAAGCCCTTCTTCACAACCCCCCCCCCCCTTCCGGGCTCCTCCATGATCATGAAAACACTCTTCCAATCACCCGTCCCACCCCTTCCTCGCATCAACACGACACGCCCGCCAGCAAAGAGAGAAGGCGGCACCTTGGGGTGTGTGGGAAGCGCTCTGGCTTGCTCTCGTCGTCCACGCTGTCAAAGCCAACCACGTGCGCCAGGAACTCCGCCAGCTTGGGGTCCTTCTCGGGGTTGAGCGTGTTCTGCGCAGCAGGCAAAGGGGTGTGGAGGAGGGGGGAAAAAGTGGGTTGGTGAGTGTGGTGCAGATGTGATGCAACTGTGCGTGTGTGTGTGTGTGTTGTGTGCACGTACTTGTAGCAAGCAGACGCAGTGGCAAAGACATTTGAAGAGGAACAAGAGGAGGAAAAGGCAAAGCACGCATGCACAGACACATGTGCAGACACAGACACACGTACACAGACACATGAGCCAACTGACCTCGAAGAGAGGGCGGAAGAGGTTGTCGAGAACTTGTGCAAAGTTGTCGAGGAGGCCCGTCTTCTTGTACACATAACTGCACACACACAAAGCGGTACAAAAAAAAAAAGCAGTGAGCAAAGGGTACAGCGAAAGAGTGTCCAAACAGCACGAACACACACACACACACACACACACACACACACACACACACACACACACACACACACACACACACCCTCCTCAACACCACGCGAGTTGAGACAACGCACTAGAGGCGGGGCACTTGGATGAGCCAGCGGACGTTGTCGGAGGCCATGTTGTTGTCGCAGAACCACGCGCCAAGCTTCGTCAGCTCGTCGGGCGCACGCCCGTACACAGACACGCGGTACTCAGCCTGCAGCGGACAAAGGTTTGGGGGTGGAGGAGGTGGGTAATTGGTAAGCGCAGAGGGAAACGGGGTGGAGGAGGAGGAGGAGAGAAGAGAAGAAGGCATGAGAGCACGTAAGGCGAAAGTGTGTGTGTGTGTGTGTGTGTGTGTGTGTGTGTGTGTGTGTGTGTGTGTGTGCGTGCTTGTGTGTGTGTGTGTGTGTGTGTGCTGAGAGAACAGGACAACAGCCGACTGCCCAAGAGCAACAGCACGACATCTAACGCACCATCTGGTACTTTGACTCCTCGAGGTCGTCAATGACCTGGCGGGAAACCTCCGCAAAGTACCGCCCCTTGATCTGCAGTGACAGTAGTGGCGGCGGTGTGAGCAAACCCGTCATCGTGATGGTGACGCAACCACAACACAAAAACAGCACACACACACACATCCGTAAACGCACACATCCGTAAACTAACCCAACACAACACGACACAACACAGCACAACACTACCACAACACAACACAACACAACACCACACCTTGTTGCTTGTCTTGAGGAAGATCTCGCGCAGGCGGGACTCGCCAATGGGGTTGTACTTGAGGTTGAAGCGGTCAAAGCGGTGGAACGTCGACTGGTCCGCGTGCATGTCCAGCGTGTCAATCGACAAATCGTACGACGTCAGGTTCAGGCTGCAACGCGGTCATAGTGTGAAGGCAAGCGCGTGGACGGCGTTGTGGGTGGATTGAATGAGGTGTGGCAGTCGAGACGTGGACACAGGGCAAGAGTCACAAGCAGCAAAGCAAACACGTATGTACACGCACACGAAAATACACACACACACACACAAATACGCACACACACACAAATACGCACACACACACACACACACACACACACACACAAATACGCACACACACACACGCACAAACAACCAAATAAAGTTCAAACAGAGCAGGCCACCCCTGCACCACCACGGGCGGCGCACCTGTCAAAGACTTGCTGGAGGGTGAGGTCCTTTCCATCACGGTGGATGACCGTCTCGTCAGGGCACTTCTTCAGCTTCGACTTGATGAAGCGCAGCAGGTGCTTCTGGTTCATGCACGCAGACAGGTGCACGTGTGTGTCCACCTGACATGATGGTGTTGGTTGGTTGATTGGTTTGGTTGGTTGGTTGGCGAGGCAGGGAACATGGGATGGCGTGAGAGACGTGTGCGTGTGCGTGTGTGTGCGAGTAAGATGTGTGCGTGTGTGTGTGTGTTGGGAAAGGGGAGAGCAGAGTTGTGACGTGACAGCATCAAGCAAAACGTGAAGTAGGCAAGGGCATTTGCACTGCGCGGGCTCACACCTTTCGGATGTTGTAAAAGTCACGATGGGGAACGGACTTTTGCTCCGCTGTCAAGGATATCGCAACAGCAACCGCAGGTGTGAGTCATCACGTGTTGTGCAACAAGAGCGTGCAGTGAAGCACAAGGAAGCATGCGCATAAGTAAGTTCACGAGCACATAGCTAAGAGTTTGGCCAAAATTTGCAAACACCACACACACACACAGAAACACACACAGAAACACACACACGCACACACCCACACACATACGCACACACGCCAAGGGCAGCAACGCACTGAGCTCGCGGGTGCTGTTGAGCATGGTGTGGAGGGTGAACTTGTTGAGGAGAAAGTGGATGCGGCGGAAGGAGAAGGACTTGGTTGGTCCGTCGTTGATCAGCGCCAACAGCTTCGACAAATCCCGCAGATAGTACTTCACATCTGCAGTTTGCACATGGGGCACAACAGCCGGGGGTGTCAGAGACAAAGTAGGCGTGTCTCGATGACAAGGGAGAGAGAATTGTCGCGCGCGCGCGCGCGCGCGTGTGTGTGTGTGTGTGTGTGTGTGTGTGTGTGTGTGTGTGTGTGTGTGGCACCAACTTGGTTGTATCAACCCCCCCTTCTCTCTCTTTTGTTTATTTCGATATAATTTTTTTCTTCTTCGCCTTACACTTTCCGACTTTTTTC